AAGCAGTGGTAATTCACATAATGAAATACTACTCAGCGGTAAAAAAGAATAAACTACTGACCATGCTGCACCACCACAGGTGAAACCTATGGAAATTAGAATGAGCTAAAGAAGCCAGAAACAAAAAGACGCCATGCAATATGGTTTCACTTGATGAAGTAGAAAATTCAAAATTAATCTATGATGAAAATAATCATGTAATTAGTAGTTGTCCCTGGGTAAGAGGCAGAATTGCCTAGGAAGGGGACATGCGGGAACTTTGTAGGGCAATGAACAAGTTCTGAATTGTGATGGGGCAATGGGTACATGTGTGTATCCCTTTGTCAGAATGGTAAAGTTAAGGTGTGCACATTTTAGTATTATACCTCAGAGAAAAAAACAAAACAAAAAAAAAACAGCATAGTGGATATGGGTGGAGGTATGGGCAAAACAATTAGAGCTGAATTTGATCTTTGTTAAAACTGGGTGATGGGTATGGACTTTTAAATACTATTTTATTCACTTTCTATATATTTGACATGTTCCAAAATAAAACATTTAAAAATATATAGGTAAAATATACAATCAAAAAATTTTATTGCATAAAAATATACCTCTCAAATGCGTTCTCTGTATTCAGGGGACATTTATTAAAATCCATGGAGACCCCCTGTGTCTGTGCTTCACATGGAGAATTAGAAAGGGAGCTCATTATTTTCTCCTGCTCCCCTCGTCCCCCACCCCCAGCATGACTCCCATCTAATGGACCATCAGGGTGAATATGATATGTTTGTCTCAGCTACCTCCAGCTCCCAAATTAATTCTTCCCTGGCCCCTCAATATTTATTGCTAACAAATCCTGGTGCATCTGGAGAAACAGAGCCGCTGCATTACTCTGGAGAATACAACTGATTTGATAGCTCTCAGCCTCAGCCTTTATTCTCACTACTCTCTGAAGATGGTGTTTTATAAGTTAACGAGAAAATATTGATGTTTTTAAATCCTGATTTTTTCAATCTCATATTCAACTTTTTTTAAACCCATGTCCTTAATTCTCAGCAATACAGAAAGACATAAATTTTCAGAATAATAAAATCCAGAGAATACTAACCAAGGTCAATGGTTAGTTTCTCTACTATGGATTGATGTGCTTAGCACATACCAGTTACTGGATGTGTCTTATTAGAGTTCTAGATTTTGCCTGAGAAAAAATTTTTTTTCACATAACATGTCCAAAGAATCAGAAGCACTATACAGAGGCAAAGAATAAATTCCGGCTCAATCACAGCTATTTAAAGCTATGTTAATACCCTCCTAGGGCATAAGAAGATTGTAAGTACACTTGGGTAAAGAATCTTCTTGACAAAACCCAGTAATTGGACTCTGGTATTGGTATCAGTCAGTTCTCTATGGTCAGCATAAGATAAACAGAAATAAGATAATATTTAAAATCCAAAATTTATATATTTTATAACCTCTACTTACAAATATTTCTACCTAATGTCTCTTTATTTTGTATACATCCACTGCTGAATTCCAATGAAGAATTTTACAATATGTAACATCAAAGACTCAGTGAGTCTGATGCCAGCATTTTTGTTCATTTGTTCGTTCGTTCATTCATTCAAAAAACCTATGCTTGCCTATGCATACTAGTATTAGAAACATGTACAGTGATACCTCGGTTCTCGAACGCCTTGACTTTCGACCAAATCGGTATTCGACCAGGAGATTCGAGAAACTTTTGTCTTGGAATCCGAACAAATATTTGGAACTCGAACTTCCGAGATGAGCCGAGCTGAGCCGAATGGCATTCATTCGGCCCAGCGCGCCTTGCTTGCGTCGTCAGTGTGAGTGCAGAGAGTGAGTCACGCTTTGTGGAGAGAGTCACGCTTTACACTGAATTTAACCCTTAGACATACTGTACACTTTTATTTCTTGTTGAGACTTATGTTTTTCTACATATTATATACAAATTAGGCCAGTAAATAGGCATTTTCTGGGGCTTGGAACGAATTAATCCAGTTTCCATGATTTCCTATTGGTTTCATTGCTTCGGTTCTCGAACAATTCGGTTCTCGACCGTCCTCCTGGAACGAATTATGTTCGAGAACCGAGGTATCACTTGTATAATAATTTAATATAATAGTGACCAAAACAGAGTTAGGCTGTCACAGGGCTTACAATCAACTAAGGGGAGACAGACTTCTTAGCTGAGGACACTAAGTGTCATGAAAGAGAATCATTAGGAAAGGGCACACAGATGACTAATTTATATACAGTCGTCCCTCTCCACTTCACACTTCGACTTTTGTGGCTTCACTCTTTCGCAGTTTTTTCAAATATATTCATTAAAAAGTTGGTTGAGAGAGTAAAAATGATACAGCGCATGCTCAGTTGTCTGAGTCAATTATACACCCCTGTATTACAATTAAAATTAAGATTACAGTACATATGAACTGTAGGCCTACGTATTTGAGCACCCCAGGAATCCTTCAACACCAGGTGCAACCACTAGAGTCTGGAACTGATTAACCGCGATAAATGAGGGACCACTGTAGTTTGTCAGGAAAGGTCTCCCTGCCCTGGCTGGTGTGGCTTAGTTGGTTGGGTGTCAGTTCTGTGCATTCAACTCCCGGTCCGGCTGTGCAGGAGACAGCGAATGTTTCACTCTCACATTGATGTTTCTCTCTCTCCTTCTCTCTTCATCTTTCTCTAAAAGAATTAATAAAAATATTTTTTAAAAATAAGGCTTCCCTGTTATATTGACACCTGAGCAAACCTGAAGGATGTGAAGTTCCAGGATTTCAGGCAAAAAAAAAAAAGGCAAGTGCAAAGCCCCCATGCCAGAGCCCACTTGCAAACTGAGAAAACAAAACCAGTGTGGCTACTATGGAGTGAGGGAGGGTCAGAGTAGTGGGAGGGGGAGGGGCAGACAGGAGATCTAGGCCTTTGTAGGCCATTTCCAGGGTCTGGGCATCTAGTGTGACAGAGATGAGGACTGTGAGCAGAAATGATCCTATTTAATGTTTTTAAAAAGATCACTAGCTGTGTGAGGAGAAGAGACAGTAGAGGAACAAAGGCTAAAGCAGGAAGACCAGGTCAATCTAGAGATCACAATGCACTCAGGAATATTTTAACTTCATTTGTTTGTAGGTCATGTTTCATTATACAACTTGATATTTCAGTAACTAAAACAACAATCAATTCATTGTTTTCTTGTTTGTCACTGGCTTGGGAGCTAGAGTTTTTGAGGGAAAGTGGAAGTCATCATATGTTACTTTTTAGGCTCTATGCTGATCTACTGGATAGTGGTTCCTTTATCTCAATTAATCTAGCAGGTATATAAGACAAAAACTGCTAGTTTCGCAAACATTCACCTTTTTCAAAATTATTCCCTCACAAATATCAAGAAACAAATATTTTTATGAACACACTTGTATACAAAAGATTTCATAGTATTGCAGTTATTCAAAACCCTCATCACAGGTGTCTATGTTGTAGTAGCCAAAACCATTTAACTGATATTCCTGAAAGATAAAGCAAAATAAAAATTTACTGTAAATCATAAAACCCATCAACACTCTCTGACTTCTCTTATAGTTAACTTATGAAATTCCTGTCATAATGAAGACAGGCTCTCGATCACTCTCCTACCTCCAATTTCCTTAAGTTTAGCAAATAGCTAAAGCAGCCTGGTCCAAATCACGTTGTTAGCACTTTCAGTTATAGAAACCTAGGTAGGAAAATCACTGTATACTACGCATCTGTCAGGACTTGTAACCGCATTTGAATGTTATTAATGCTTTAAGAGGGTGTCAGAAACACATGCTTTCCTGCACACTTTGGTGATTTCATTCTTTGCTCAGAGCACTCTGATAAATTAAATCATCCTGACTGTGTCTTGAATCGCAGCTGGTCTGCCTGAATATTGCTCTTTGATGATGAACAAGCAGTACAAAATAAGATGCTGATTCCACTCTAAAAATCTCATTTTCAGCATCTTGTCTAATATTGCTAGGCAGGATTTTAAAACAGGAACAAATGCTAAAATTCACTTTGGTTCTGCAAAAACCTCAGCCATTTGCTGATAAATTGATGGCTTTTTTCCTTTCCCAATAGCAGTAAGGAAGGGAAATGGGGTGGGGGGTGGGGAGAGGCTATTAAAATGGATAATCCAGCTCTTTGCTTAGCTGAGGATTTAATGAGGGTAGAATAAGGCAGGAACTGTGGGACCGTTACAGCCACATATACTTCAGCCTGTTTCCTCACCCTCACTGCACAGTTTCAGGAATCTGCCTCATTAAGTTCCACTAACAAGTAAGGAGATTTCCCTCTCTGGGGGCAGGCTTTGCTGTACTAACATCACTGTGGACTGCGTCTTATCTGCCCCCTCTCCCTTTCCCTTTCCTTCCATTGCAAACTCCTATTTCATTTTGTTTTGTTACATCGTACACTGAAGGCATTCTTGCAAACTACCTTATACCCTTCCCGGGATAAGAAGAGATAGAAATAAATAAAACCAATCAAGATTTCTTTCTCCACGTCTAAATTTAAATACAGCAGGCGGGCGGGGCGAGATGGTGAAAAGGGGTATGTGGGTGTGTGTTGCAAGATTTTTCGGCCTCGGAGAGAAAATGATAAAGAACAGAATACTAAAGAGATTTGAGGCCCGTGTGTGTGTGTGTGTGTGTGTGTGTGTGTGTGTGTGTGTGTGGTGTGTGTACAGTCAGGGCAGAGGACAGAATTCAAGAAGGGAAGGAGAAAAAGATCAATTGAGGCAGTCACTCACTCCCACCCCTCCCGCCTCCTCCCCACCCCACTGCAGTGCTCAGAAAGCTCTTCACCCACCGGGCAGATTCCTGATACCAAAGCAAAGCCCTTGTCCTCGGCAGGGAGATTGGGATGGGTAGAGAGAGGCAATGGGAAGCTATCCGGCAAGGGACGCGGGAGGAAGCCAGCGACGCCAGATAAGATCTCCCGCCGAGATGGAGCAGCAGGGCCGGGCTGCCGGGACCCACCTGGAACAGGGACGGTAGAGGATGCCCCAGGCACCTCTGGCCTCTCCTCCTCCGCCTCGTCCCGCTGCCTTTGCTGCTGCTGCTGCTGCTGCTGCTGCTGCTGCTGCTGCTGCTGCTGCTGCTGCTGCTGCTGCTGCTGCTGCTGCTGCTGGATGAGGCTGAGATCCGAGCGGCTGAGCTCGGCTCTGGCAGCGGCGGGGACCAGCCGCGCCTTCAGCAGCACAGCTGCCAGGCCCAGGAGCAGGGTGCAGGGGACGCGCCGGCTGAGCCTCGCCATGGCCGAGAGCCAGAGGGCCGCGGCGGCATATTGCGGGGCTCCGGGCGGCGGCGGGCGCCAGGGCTGCGGGCTCCGGCGGCCCCGCTCGCTCGCTCCCCCTCGCGTCGTCTGCCTCGCATGCCCTCTCCAGCAGGAGGAGGAGGCTGGGAGGCAGGGGCGCCGGAGCGCGCGGGGTGGTCCTCTCGCGCACGTGATGCGCTGGGCGGGGCGAGCCCCGCTGTCACCTGCGGCCCCGCTGCTCCCCGTGCGACGCTGGGGCACTATGCCGGGTGGTGGCCTACAGGGTAAAAGAAAAAGGGAGAACCGTTCTGGGAGCTGGCAGACCTTCATATCCTCCAGCTCCTACTGAGGCCCCGGGACATTTTGCAGAAAGTGATCCCAAACTAGAGGAGACGGTGGCACACTGACTACCCTCCTACAACTCTTGAAGCCGTCCCAGCAGATCGAAAAGCCAGGGTCTCTTAACCATGCAGGCTGTACTGCCTCACAGCCATCACTGACTAACTAGGCATTAAACTGTGGCTCTCCAGATTTTTACTAAACTTCCTAATTCTGCTTGAGTAGATTTTTTTTCTATAGTGTAAAATCTTCATTATATTTTGTCTAATTGTAGCCTACACTTCTCATTTGTTCAAAAAATATTTTACTAAATGAGCACTTTGTGCCAATATTTAGTCAGGTGTGTGGAATAAGCATGATATAACCTCTGTATACTAGAAGCTCACTTCCTGTTAGGAAAGAGGAACATAAAAGCAAATTGTAATCCAGTGTGGTGGTTGCCACTGGAGAAACCCTACAATGTGCAGAGATTGCAATGAATTGGAAGAAATGAACCATGTGGTGTATGGAAGGGGCTATGAAATACTGGGGGAGGTTGTGTTTAAAGGAGAATAAGAGTTCCACACATACATGGAAGTAATAAGGTCTAAAAAGAGGGGTGTGTGCGTGTGCGTGTGTGTGTGTTTCTGCATGCGTGAAAAGCTAGGAGGTGCTTGGAACACTGAGGAATAATGGCTGTGTCAGAGTGACTGTTTTAGATGGAAAAGGAAAGTGGAAATCAGGTCATTAAAAAAGTAATAGCAAATCCTTCCATAGCAATTACTGTGTGCCAGGCACTGTTCAAGCACTTTATATATGTTAACTCCTGTAATTGTGGGTGCTATATAAGGAAGTAGAAATTTACACTGCAAGTGATTGTGAAGTAGTGAAAGAAATTAATCAGGGGAGTTGCTACCAGTATGCATTTTAGAAGGATCACTTTCCTATCAGTACAGAGGATGGATTACAGAGGAATGCATTGGAGAAGACCAGTTTAAAGGTTGTTTGTAAAAGGCCACGGGGAGATGCCGAAGGTTGTGAGGCTGAAAAGGAAGAGAAAAGGAGAAGATTCAGTATTTAGGGCTAGAATCAACAGACATGGTTGATTGTTTGAGCTGGGAGGGGAGGAAGAGAGATGAACATGTCTAGTATAACACCTAATTGCCAGACTGAGATCCTGGGTAGTTGCTTATGACATTATCAAGATTAAATAATAGAGACTGCAGAATAAGTGATAAGCCATGGCTTGTTCAGTTGTAATCTCTCTGCATTTAGAGTGCCCATGTGACATCCAATGGTATAATAATGTGATTGGTGACATCACAGCATCATCTACCATCGTAGTTGATTCAGCTGATTTGACAGAATGGACAGTCCCTTTCCACCCTCACCACTCTGATGTGTGTTCCTTGGGATGCTCCCAAGATGCTGAAAAAGAACAAACTTCTCAGTAGTAGAAAATTATTCTTTGGTCAAGGGTATTGAAATAGTGCTTATAGCCCTGGCCAGTTTGGCTCAGCGGTTAGAGCATCGGCCTGCAGTCCAGAGAGACCCAGGTTCAGTTCCCACTAGAGGCACGTACCTCGGGCGCAGTTTGTCCCTGGCCCTGGATGGGTTGTGTAGGTGGCAGCCACTCGATGTGTCCCTTTCACGTCGACGTTTCTCTCTCTCTCTCTCTTCCTCTCTCTCCCTCCTACTTTATCTGAACAAAAAATGGAAAAATGTCCTTGGGTGAGGATAAAAAAGAAATAGTGCCTATGGTCTGACAGGTGTGGCTCAGTGGTTGAGCACAGGACACATGCCCAAGTTGTGGGCCAAATCCCCAGTGGGGGGCATGCAGGAGGCGGCCAATTAATGTTCTCTCTCATCGATGTTTCTTTCTCCCTCTCTCTCTCAAATTAATAAAGGGAAAAAAATAAAATAAATAGTACCTATATAACCATAAAGTAAAATAATAATAATAATAATAGGCATTTTGCATACATTGTACACCCAGAGCAATCCTACAAATTAGCCCTCATTATCTTATTCAGCAAATGGAAACACTGAAGATCAGAGAGGCTACTGATTGCCCAAGGACACACTAATTATGTGTAATTTTACCTTTCTACCCCATTGGAAACTTTTACCATGAGCTTGTATTGCTTTATTTTTTTATATATTTTAAAAAATTTTTTTTCTCACTCGAGGACATTTTTGCATTCATCTTCAAATAGAGCAGGAGGGAGAGAGAGAGGAAGAAGGAGAGAGAAACATCGATGTGAGAGAGACACATCAAGTGGTTGCCACTCACACAACCACAACCGGGACGGGGACAAACTGCAACCGAGGTACGTGCCCTTAGCGGGAACCGAACCCGGGACCTTCCGGTCCACGAACCAATGCTCTAACCACTGAGCAAACTGGCCAGGGCTGTATTGCTTTTTTAAAGTGATTTTTAGACCAATAAGCTATGCAGGTACAGAATTATTTGGAAAATAAGTACCAAAGTGAGGCCCCTACACTAAGCACCAGTGGTTCGGCAAGGCTTTGCCTCATCTGTGTGGACAGGCACGCGGATGGAGGGGAGGCTGAATGCAGAGCCTTCGTTAGTTTCATCGACCTGTTTTTCTTGCATTTTCTTCCGATTTAGCCCTACTCCTAGAGAGAAGAAAGGAAAAACTGGAAATGGCTCCAGAAACTTGACTGGCAGATCAAGGGGAAAGGAACGCTGCCAGGATGTCGTCACCCCTCGTCTGGTGGCCAAGTCATCGTAAATGTATTAGTGGCTGACCTTCCGGAGGCAGGCCGATGATTCTCTGGCCCCCAGAAGAGGTTAGAAATCAAATCCTTCAATGTTATGCGCTGTTGAAAGAGAATTTTGTCAGTCGAGGTGGTTTTTAAATGTTCCATTATTCATAAAGCTTATGCTTATTTTCTGTGCAATAGACAAAAGCCATGTTGTCTGATGCAATCAGGGGTAGTAGTTGGTAAATAAAAAAAGTTAATAAAACATATAAAAATAAATATATCTTAAATATATTTTAAACTGCCTGTCCAGGGTGGCTCAGTAGTTGAGCATCAACCCATGCACCAAGAGATCACCATTTCTATTTCCAGTCAGGGCACATGCCTAGGTTGTGGGCCAAATCCCCAGTGGGGGGCATGCAGAAGGCGGCCAATTGATGTTCTCTTTCATTGATCTATCTTTCTCTCTCTCTCTCTCTCCCTTCCTCTCTGTCTAAAATCAATAAAGAAAAAAAATTTTTTTAATACTTTAAACTGTTTATTTTACCTTAAATAAGTAAACGTATGTTCATTTAGCAATCTTTCAATATAAGGTCAGTACTTTTTTTTATTATTATTATTATTATCTAGCCATATCCTAGGGTTTGAAGTGATAAATCACAATTATAATGCACCCCTATAATGTGCAGTTTTAGTTTAACTGAAAGGAGTCTTTGACCATTTGAGTGCCAAATCCTTCTATGTTCACTTTTCTCCATACGTATTTTTACAATTTTCTAACCCACTTAATATTAAACTTAATTTTCATACAGAACTTTATATTTTAATCAAGTTTCTATTTCATTCATTCCTTATAACACATAGAACACGCAAAAACAAATTGGTGAGAAAACATCTGACTTTCAGCACACTCAGAAACCAACAGGTGGGGGCAAAACCAAGCAGACATTCAGGAAGGTGTGTCCGACTGCATTGCCTCCCTGGCAGTCAGTGCAATCACAAAGAATGGAAGATGCCAGTTGATCCAGTCAGTTATTCTCAAGTTCCTAATTCATGATACTGTTCATGCATAATACAATGTAATCATTAATGTTCGAACTTCTTCATTTTATAAAAATACTACAAGAGCCATCAGAAAGCAAAGTATAATGCCGTACTTAGTATATTAATATATTAATTCTTCCTTGCTTAAGATCTACTAGTACCTCCCCCACAGAGTGACAGAGGGAAGAAGAGATAAACGGAGAGAGGAGAGAGAGAGAGGGGGAGAGAGAGAGAGAGAGAGAGAGAGAGAGAGAGATTTCTTTTATTTCCTTGAACTAGACTTATTAGGGTTGCCCCTAGACAACCTTTACATATTGCTTCCTTGTGCCTGGAACTCTGCTCCAACACCTCTTTAACTGACGGGCTCCCATAGACCCTGCAGGGTTAGCTTAGATATTGCTTCCTCCAGTATACATTTCCCGACATCCTTAGCTTTGATTAGGTGCCCCTGCTATGAGCTTGCATGGCATCTCATATTTCCCCTTCGTACTCTATTTAAAATGGGTACTTATGTGCCTATAACCTCACTAGTGTAGGTTCCACCAGGGCTAATGTTCCACAAGCCATCATGTTCATAGCTGTCTCCAACTCCTCCTACAATGTCTAACATAGCTTGATTACTGGGCTGATAAAATTAAGTCAATTTTAGGAAGCAGAGCTGTTGGTGCTGGAGGAGGGCCCCGGAATCAGTGCTCTGGTATCCACCACTCACAGCTGAGGGATTTACATAAGACTCCTGACCTGTTTTTTCAACTGTGTAATGGGAGAAATCATAGCACCTATGTAACAAAATGAGATAATATAAAATAGAGTTTCTTGCTATAGAAACTGTTCAGTAAATGCCAGCTGCTCCTTTTGTTAATGTTATGTATTGTTTTATTTGATATATTTTAAATGCATATAAAATTGTATGTCATATGGAGTCGAATCTCTTTTTTTTTTTTTTTTGGCAATTATGTTCTATGAAGTCACTGTAAACACTAAGTTAGCAAATACTAAACCATTGCTCCTAGGAGGAATAGAGTTAGGTTCCTGTGAGCCTCTCTGGTCACAACATTTTCATCAACTCATCAATACACAATCTTGCTCTATATGTATTTCTGCCTAAAGACACTTTATTTTATAGTGTTCGTTCATTAACACTGAGCTCACAGCCAACAGTTAGATAAGCCTGAAAGAAGCTTATCTAACACGTACGTTCTCTGTCAGGCACATCATGGCCTTCTTGATCATAGGAACACTAGACAGCACTGTAGCCCTATAAAATTAGGAGATTTTTTTAATCCTCACCTGAGAATATTTTTCCATTTATTTTCAGATAGAGTGGGAGGGAGGGAGGAAGGGAGGAGGAAGGAAGAGAGAGAGAAACATCGATTTGAGAGGGACACATCAAATGGTTGCCTCCCACACGACCCCAACCACAGCAGGGATGAACAGCCAAGGTACATGCCCTTGACTGGAATCAAACCCGTGACTCTTTGGTCTGCAGGCCGACGCTCTAACTGCTAAGCCAAACTGGCCAGGGCAAAGTCATTTTAAACAACAAAATCACCAACAAAAAATACAAAACTGGAAAAAAAAATATATATATATATATATTAAATAGGCATTAAATAGGCCACAAAAAGGAAACTTATATTTACAATGAGAGCTGAAAGAAGGAAAAGAAAGCATCACCCCGTTTGAACTCAGCCAGGCGTGTGCATGTCAGCAACTCACATTTTTCCCTGCTCTGCACATTTCCAGAAATAGCTGTGAACCTACTGATTGAGGTTACAAACATATTTTAGCAAATAGGCAAATTCAGAAACATGAGATCATGAATAATGAGGATCAACTGCGTGTGTGTGTGTGTGTGTGTGTTATGGTAAGAAAGACTGGATAAAATCTTTGGTGTAGGTAACAAATATTGAATAAAAATTTACAGGGAAGCCAAATAATTCTGGAAAAAAATATGAATGCTATCAAGAATTAAGAAAGAATCCACCCCTGCAGTTTCGAGCTCCAGGCCTGCCCCAGCACCAGGATGGCCTCCCCAAGGCCCCAGGTACCAGGCTAGCACCCAGGGCCCCAAATTCCAGGCCTGGCGGTCCACCAGATTAGCTCCTTTGGCCTCAGGCTCCAGGCCCACTCTAGCACCAGACCAGTAGCCACAGATCCAGACTCCAGTGGATCCAGGGTCCAGGCCATCCTCCGCCATCAACATCTGCAAATCAATTAATGTGACACACCACATTAACAAAATAAAGTATAAAAATCAAATGATCATCTCAATAGATGCTGAAAAGTATCTGACAAAATTCAACACCCTTTAATGACTTTTTAAAAAAAAAAAACTCAACAAATTAGGTATTAAAGGACTGTACCTCTACAGAATAAAGGCCAAATGTGACAAAACCACAACAGCTAACATCACACTTAATGGTGAAAGCTGAAAGCATTTCTTCTAAGATCAGAAACAAGACAAAGATGCCCATTCTCACGACTGTATTAACTATAGTATTGGAAGTCCTAGCCAAAGCAATGGGGGTAGGAAGAAAAGAAAGAACATTGAAATCAGAGAGAAAGAAGTAAAACTGTCTGTGGATGAAATGATCTTATCACTCCACCAAAATTGATAACACTAATCAACACATTGAGTAAAATTGCAGGATACAAAATGAACAATGAGTTGTTTTTACATACTAACAATGAACTATGTAAAAAACAAAAAATCCCATTTACAGTAGTATTAAAAGAAAAACCTTAGAAATAAATTTAACCAGAGAGGAAAGATCTGTACACCAATAACTGCAAAACAATGACGAAAGTAATTAAAGAAAACACAAATAAATGGGAAAATATCCCTTGTTCATGGATTGGCAGAATGAATATTGTTAAAATGTCTCTACTCCCCAAAGCCATCTATAGATTCATTGCAATCCCTATCAAAATTCCAATGGCATTTTTCACAGCAATAGAAAAAAAAACAATCCTAAAATTCATATGAAACCTCAAAAAAACACAAGTAGCCAAAGCAATCTTGAGCAAAAAGAACAGAGCTGGAGATAATACACTACCTGATTTCAAAATATAATATAAAATTGCCAAAACAGCAGGGTAATGGTATAAAAAACAGATATGTAAACTAATGGAAGCCCAGAAATACATCCACACACTAATGGTCAATTGCTCTCTGGTAGGCACTGGAGATCCACAAGTCTCGTGTGAATTTTACATCAGCAGAAACACTGCCAGTTTGGTCTAAAAGAAAGTACAAAATGCGCCCAGGCTGGTTTGGCTTAGTGATTAGAGCATTGGCCTGTGGTCCAGAGAGACCCAGGTTCAGTTCCCACTAAGGGCATGTACCTCGGTTGCAGTTTGTCCCCAGCCCTGTTTAGGGCCGTGTGGGTGGCGATCATTCGACGTGTCCCTTTCACATCAATGCTTCTCTCTCTCTCTCTCTCCCTCCCACTCTATCTGAACAAAATATGGAAAAATGTCCTTGGGTGAGGATAAAAAAAAAAAGTACAAAATGGAAAAGCATACTGGGCCCACACAATTTTACCAACACTCACCTGCAAACATGTGCTGTATTTCATGGGAGAAACGACGACTCAGTATGGAGCCAGGGGTCAGAGAATTATTCACAGAATCGTTTGAAACCAAATGGAGTTTGCCCCGCTGGATTTTAACACTGCTTGGGATCAGTGACTTCTTTTTTTCCTTCTTGTGAACCAGAAGGTCTATAATTGTTATCATATGCCTGTCCCACCATGCTCTGTTGGGAGCGGATAACTCGTTTCCTTCGTTCACAACTCACATACAGAGAGAAACTGCACCCTAGGATAGATATACCCAACCTCACCCATACCTAGTTTGGAGGAGATTTAGGACATCCAAGCTGATTAGGTAAACCGGTTCTAACTTGTGATTTTCAGCAGTGTGACCATGATGTGCACTGATAGTGTTTTCTGTAACTGTCCAGTTTGGGATTCACTGAGTTTCCAAAATTTTAGGTTGCTATTTTTGACCAAATTTGGAAACTTTTTGGCTTCCAGTATCTTGTCTGACCCATTTTCTCTCTCCTCTCTAATCTCCTTTTGTACCTAGACTGTCCCATGGTTCATTGAGAATATTTTTTAATCACTTCCTTCCCTCAGTGCTTCAGTTTGAATGAATTCAATTCATCTAACACAATTCTTTTGTGTTAACCTTTTTTCAAATAACTAACACTCTAAAGAATTCAGACATTTAGAGAGGTGTGTCATCTCACTGAGGTCATCCTTTCAAGGGCATTATTGCTTGCTCATGTGAATAAAAAAAACATAACAAGACAACATAGAGGGAAAATATATCCATACACAAGAGTGGCACCATGTGCTCAAGTTTATTGTACAGACACAGTTACACACTGGACATTATGAAGAACATTGTACCAGTTTTCACAAATTCAGATCAAGTTAGAAAATGACAAATTTTAGAACACGCTCATTTGATGCCTCACCCAATGTGGGTGATCACAAGAAAAGCTAAATAAAGAACACCTATGTTACTTAGGTAGCAAACTAATTTGATAGACACTGCTTCCAAGTTACCTTGAGAGATTTCAAAGTGTTTCAAAACTAATAGGGAATAGTTCATGTCCAGCCTAAAACCAAATGTAAAATGGACCTTTTAGGAGTAAATAACTTCATCTGTATGTCCATAGCAGAATCACTCCTTCCTGCTAACAAAATATTAACAAATCTCCATTTAGATTAGGGTTTATTAAATTAATAATGCCTTGGAAATTATCTTGGTTTGGTTACATTGTTATATTGCACTGAGAAAAATTACAACAAAAATTAAAGATTCGGTACCTCTCACAGGAAATTCATCATTATCAGAAATTACAATCAAATACAAGCAACATGCATGCTGCACATCCGTAGGCTCATCATCACAACCAGCGTACCAACGAGTAAAAAGGGGAAACTCTCCAAAACACTGAGTACTGTCTTTTCATTCACCATTTTTGATCCTATATTCAATTTTCAAATTTTATTTTTCTTATTTATCAAACCACCATGTAAACAAGCTATGTAAGAGTACAAATGAGGTGACACTGAGATAGGCAATGGTCACACCCAGGCATTCCAAGAATGACTTGGTCTTCACCATGCTTGGTACTACATTCTGCAACAGAGGAATGTCTACCACTTACAAGTTCTGGTTGCCTTATAAAACCCAGCCGATCTCTTATATACTATACTTTTGTCACATAAATCTCTCTCTTAGGGTCATGGTTCATTATTAAAAATCTTTCACAGCCTTCTTAAAGAAGTCAGTATAGTCTCTTTTCTTAATACTTAAATTTTCTCTTTATATAAATATAAGTATTAATGAGAATGCACTATGAATAAGTAGTTTCATAACATAAGTACAATTGTGGCAGTAATATTTTGATTGTTTTTACACTTCAGAATTAAGAACTCAATCAGAATTATGATAATAATCACAAGAGAAAAGTAAAGGGAAGAAAAAGAATGTCTCTTACACAAATGCTTTTCAAAATATCATTCTGAAATAAATGCCTATAGAAGAAATCAACAATAGTATCAATATTTCTTACCAATATCAAATGCTTTATATATTCTCTACCTCACTCATGTGTTTTTAAACGAAATCAAATTATATGAATTTTATATTCAAAATGGATTTTAAATGACACAATAGTATTTAAAATATTTGAAAATTACAATAGTTTTCACAGGATTATTTTTTGACATTTTAACCAAATATATTCACTTACTACTTTAAGATAAAGGAATCTAGACATTTTCCTCAAAGAGGAGGCTCTTAAATTATACTTCTACCATGTTTTTTAGATGTAAATTTTAATTTTTAAAAGAAAATACCATTGCCTAAGACTACAATTCATAAAGGCAACTTAAAACATGTTAAATTCTAATGACAACATCCTTCAACCTCCTATACAAGATTATACCTTGAAATAGCATCCATAAAAGGAATAGATTGTACAAAAGGAAATACAAACTTTTTTTTGAAAAGAGTAAATTTCTATCCAATATATATTTTCAGGAATTACTGTTAATATGTGGGGAGACAGGTGAGGTGAAAGTTGTTATAGAACAACTTAGTGACTGGTGGCAGGCCCTAGGATAAAAATATTGTTTTCTTTAAAAAATTTAAATTTACTGGTAATAAAATTACCCACTGAATATGACTAAGATCTCTTAAATTACTAATAAAATCTATATTATAAAATCTATTACTTTTGAAATTCACTAAAGCTAAATACAGGGTCCTGTCAATGTTCTAACTTGTATAACTCACCTACATGTGCCTCTATTTTATGACTAAAGCCACTTGTATAGGAAATTATAACACAAGACATGGCAAGATAAATTCCAATTGTTTTTAAAACAGAACAATATTCAATTATTTAAGGGAAATATTTATTATTACCTAACGAAGACAGCAGTTTAAAAGCTATTAACCCTCAATTGCTAATGCATAACATGATGTAATTGCACAAAAATAGTTATAATAGTCATCCCAAGGCTTTGAAGAACTGTGAATAAATCACATATTCCTCTAGAAAATTCATCACCTTACAGACATATAAAAATACAACTTGCCACCTATGCAGCTTTTATAAAAAAGTCCTAGAAAAGTAATTTATGGTAATAAACCTAAGAAAGTTTTAAAATGTTTCCAATAACTTGAATTGCTTATAAAAATAGCTTTTAGAAGTTATTTTGAGAGCTGAGATTGGTTTAACAGATTACACCTTGCTCAAAATGAGGTAATATCAGTAAGAAGCATCACGCTATTGCTACTTTAAGAATTTCAATCCTAAGCATTTGTCATGGGGTTGAGGGGTTCCAAAGATTCCTCATTGATCTTGACCTGTTGCCAGTAACAGTTTTGGAAATACAAGAAAAAATACATCTATAGGAGGAAAATAAATTAATCCCAACTAAAAACTCTAGATCTAATCTAAGAACATACTATTAATAAGCAATCCTATCAAAGAACTACAAACATAAGTTTTAAATTAAAATGCTCTTATTTTGTATGGTAAATGGCCAGACTAATACAATGGAATAAATGCACTTTGGAAATGATTTCCAACTCCATATGGCTTTAAGCATCATGATGTTTAGCTGAAATTAAGCCATTACACAAAAGAGGCATTTATGATTTAAGTACTAATTTTTAGTATAGGTTGACTTAAAGTATTTGAAACACAATTTAAACTTAAATAATTAGAATGTAGTAAAATGGACTGTGGATTAAATAGAAATAAAAATTTAATAGCATGTATCCAAATTTCATATTAAAACAAAACACTATCCCTAGGAAAGAATTTTGAGAAGGTCAACTTTTTTTTTTTTTAAGTTTACCATGTAGGTAATATTAAAATCCAAGTTCTCGGAGTTATAAAGTCTTACATAACTTGAAAACTCAACTATAGTGTAATGAATATTAACATTAAGTACTTGTGCAAACAATGTGGATGCTAAGGTCCAAATATGAATAGCTTTAGAATAATAATAACAACAACAACAAACAACAAAATCCAACATACAAACCAGAAACAGTAATTATAGGAGGTACTATTTTACATAAAGTGGTAACTCAGGCACTATGTTATGTACATTAAAGAACTATCACTTGAAATTTTATTATTTAAATACCTAAAACACAAGTCAATGAATGTGTATTAACTGTATGTCTGAACTTCTCTATAACAAAATGGTTGACAGATATTGCTCTCGTTTTGTGGTTAATACCAATGGGCACCATCAGCAGTCAAGTCTTGGAATTTTAGTCCTCATAAAGGAAACTGAAATCTATAATAACGCTGTTAATTCTAATGGGTCAGGATGTAGCATAACTGAAAAGATCACAGTTAAGTTTCTGAGTTTCCTTCACCATTTTCATGAGGTTGAAGCTGTTCCCTTTCTTGCTCTTCTTGAGGTGGCCGAACACGTTTAAAAAAGCCCATCTGTCGGTTGAACAAAAACTGACATTACTGCCGCATCAGTGAAAAATATCAGAAGTATTCTAACTAACTATATTATCATCAAAAAAATGTCTCCCTTCAAATAGTATGTAGTATTCATCATGCATCATCATCATCAAAGGTCCCTTTCCTCCTTCCCTTCCTTCTTTTCCATTTCTCCTTCTTTCCTTCTCTCTCTTCCCCTTCTTTCCTTTTCTCTCTTCCCCTTTTCTTTCTGTTTCTTCTCCCTTTCTCTTCCTAAGTCCATTACTTACCCTGTACATCACAAACACCAAAACAGCCAATAATAACAATCCTGCCAGAACAGCTAAAATGATCACCCACACAGGCACAGGCATGGGCGCTGGCTGAATGCCCCAGGTGACATTAGTGGTGACCTGTCAAGGGAAAAGAAGTTTTTGAGTTTTAAAAATAGTTCACTGACTTATTCAACAACTATCTAAATGTTGACTATATTTTATTTTAACGGTATTCACATTGTTTCCTCTTCTTGTGTATGACAATTTATGATTATACATCTGGTATCAACAGCAGACACATACACACATAAAACTCCCAACAACAGGTGAACTTCTGGTCACCTCTAAAATGACTTTTAGATAATTCAATCCAGTTTATAATGTGTTGGTCCCATTTTTAATCCTCAAATTAAAGATCTTTAAAATGCCTTTACTTCTTGCAGTTAATTTCCAACTTTCTAACATTATGGAAAGAAATCCCCAAAAAAACTTTCCCCATGAAATTCAGTGAATACTAAGAATCACTTGCATAGGACAAGATGCTAAAGCAAAAAGTCTACCTTCAATAATTCTAGAGTGAGGGAGTAAAGTAATATTCAATTAAGTTATAATCCTATCAAGTTAACTCTTAATTACTTTAAATTATGAAAATAGTTAAACTGCCATTATTTAAAATAAATTAAAAATAACTATGGCAAAAATAACAATGGCATTAAACTGGGTGCATTTATTCCATTTCCCCAAATAAATGACTTACTAATGTGGAGTTGAAGATATCCTCAATTGGAAGGTTCTTATAAGGAAACTCGATGACATTAAATGAAGCAGATGACTTCAGAGAGTATGAATGATTCTGGTTTTCCTTCTGTATGGAAGTAACAATAAAATGATTTTCTGGATGTCAGACTGTTTTTATTTCTTTGAAAAAATGGATGTTTGCTAAATGCTGCATCTGTGCACTTACATTCATAAAGGTCTCGGTCCACAGGAGAGACTTTACATACAGGATTGCACTCTTTCCTCGGTCTAGTCGCCCAACCTGGCAGACAATCTTCAAGCATTCAGCAATTCCACAACCCTACCAAAACAAGATATTTACTTACAAGAAAAGGTCATTCTGTTATCTCTTCAACTCCTGAAAATCAGACATTTTATTCATTTCATCTGAAGGCTAAAAAGATGACCCAGATTCTTTTGTCTTATAGAAAGCACATTTAAAATGAACAGGCTAATATTAGAGTCTATGAATGCTTTTCGTTATAAAGGAGTAGATTTTAATGTAAATTGTTATAGAAAGATAAGATCTATAATATTAAAATATTTATTTTATGGCTGGAACTGAACATTCTTCTGAGAATCTATGGGTAGATTCTCAACATTCTGGGAAAACCCAAAGTAGGGTGATTTTATTTGACCACAATATCTCTGTTAAAAAGAAAAAGAAACAGTGAATCTTTAACAGCTATTCCATGTAAAAATCAAGTGGTATGCTGATAGGCTTTGCCACGTTCAGTGTTTTTATCAGTAACTTGAAGGCAGACTGCCAAAGGTAACAAGTTTTCCCATCTTCTATGTGCTGGCTAAACTGCATTAGACACATCACTTGCATACACCTCACAATGCCATCTAGTAAATGGCACCTTCAGTTGATGACCAGTAAAAGAAGCAAGCTTTCTTTTTTTTTTTTTTTGGTATATGCCCCTAGTGGGAACTGAACCTGGGACTCTCTGGTCCGCAGGCCGATGCTCCAACCTCTGAGCCAAACTGACCACGGCAGAAGCAAGCTTTCTTGACCTGATAAGGGTCATCTATGAAAAGTCTATAGTTATCATTATACTTAATGGTAAGAATGGATACTTTCTCCTCAGATAGGAACAAGACAAAGATGCCCACTCATAAAACTTCTATTAACATGTTCAGAAGGTTCTAGCCAGTGCAATTAAGGAAAAAAAAAAATCCAGATTGGAAAGGAAAAAGTAAATCTATCTCTATCCATAGGTAACAGGATCTTATACATACAAAATACTAAAGAATCCACAATAAAACTATTAAAGATAATAAACAAATACAGAAAATGTACAGAAGATTAATATATAAATATGAATTGTATTTCTATAGCACCAAAAAATCTGAAAATAAAATAATTAATTAAAATTAAGGTATCTATTTAAAATAGCATCAAAAATAATAAAATATGTGGAAGTAATTTAACTAAGGAAGTATAAGACTTATACACTGAAAACCATAAAATATTTTTGAAAAAAATTAAAGGAGACCTAAATAAACACAAAAGTTATCTCATGTTCAAGGTCTGAAAGACTTAAGATGGCGATACTCCCAAACTGAGAGATCCAATAAAATCCCTACCAAAATTCCAACTACCTTTTTTGTAGAAATGGACAAGTTGATCCAAATTCATATGGAATTTCATATAAATATAAATTTACAGGGGACCTTAAATAATCAAAGCAATCTTGAAAATAAGGAAATACTGGAGGATACACACTCCCCAGTGTCAAAACTTGCTGCAGAGCTACAATATTCAAACGATTTGGAACTGGCATAAGAATACATGTGTAGATCAGTGGACTAGAACTGAAAGTCCAGAAATAAACCCACACATTTATGGTCAATTCATTTTAAAGAGGCTGCCAAGACCATTTAATGGGCAGAGGGATGTAAATGTAAGAGCTAAACGTGTAGGCGTAAATGTAAGAAAATGTAGGTGTAAATCTTCTGGACCTGGGTCAGGCAATGTTTTCTTAAATATGACAGCAAAAGTACACGCGACAAAAGAAGAAACAGACTGGAGAAAATGGAAATGGATACAAGTAGAAGAAAAGTCCATTTATAAAGCACTGAAGGAATAGTACTGGGTTCTACTGAACAGGCCTATCAGAAGACTTCAAAATGGCATTTGGTGATTTCATAGACCTTCTTTTGTGTCTGGACCAATTAACAAGTGCCATGAATAACCACTCACTGTTTCTGTAGAAAATACAAATAAAAATAATTTTGGTAGGAGTTAAAAAGAAAAACTTGAACTTATTCAAATTAAAAAAATATTTGCATCAAGAAACTGAAAATGTTGCATCAAGAAACTAAAAGGCAACTAACAGAATGAGAAAAAATGTGTGCACACATAGCTCTGATAAGGGTAGTATCCAGAATATATAAAGAATTATGTCTCAACAATAAAAGGCAAACAACTCAATTTAAAAATGGACAAAGAAGCTTTGGCCAGTTTGGCCCAGCAATTAGAGTGTCAGCCTGCAGACCAAAGAGTCGTGGGTTTGATTCCAGTCAAGGGCACATACTTCGGTGGCCCTTCGATCCCCCAGCCCTGGTCAAGGTCATACAAGAGGCAGCTAATCGATGTGTCTCTCTCATCGATGTTTCTCTCTCCATTTCTCCTTCCCTCCTACTCTATCTGAAAATCAATGGGAAAATATCCATGGTTGAGGATTTAAAAAAAAGGACAAAGAATTTGAATAGACAGCTCTCTAAGAAGACATACAAGTGAAAAGATGTTCAATATCATTAGTCATTAAGGAAATACAAATAAAACAATGAGATACCACTGCATACTGATGAGGATGATTGTAAAAAATATATATATGTATTTTAAAGTCAACAGCAAGTAATGGCAAGGATGGGGAGATACTGGAACCTTTACACATTGCCAGTTGGGAACGTAAAACGGTGTGACCATTTTTTTTTAATTTTTTATTTATTAATTTGTTTTTGTTACAGATATTTCTCATTTTTCCCCATTGACACCCTCCTCCCCTTCCCCATCACCCCATCCCCAGCTTTGTTGTCTATGTTCATTGGTCATGCGTACATGCCTGTAGGTTCTGTGGTTGGTGCGACCATTTTGAAAACAGTTCGGCAGCTCCTCAAAACTTAAACAGAGTTGCCCGGTCAATATTTGACCCAGCAACTGCACTCCTAAGTTTATTCCCAAGAGAACTGAAAACACATGTTCACATCAAAACTTGTGCATGTATGTTCAGCAGAGACAAAAAGTGGAAACAACTGAAATGTTCATCAACTGATGAATGAATACACAAAATGTGACATATCCATGGAGTGAAATATTATTTAGCCATAAAAAATGATTTAAGTCCCAATATATGCTACAGGGTGAACCTTAAAACATTATGCTAAATCAAAGAAGCCAAACATAAAAGGCCACATACTGTATTATTTTACTTATATGAACTGTCCAGAATAGACATAGCTACAGACAGAAAGCAGATTAGTGGTTGCCAGGGGCAGGTGGTAGGGGAAAATGGATAGTGACCACTTAACGGGGGCACAGCGTTCTTTTCGAAGTGATGAAATGATCTGGAATTAGATAATGATGGTGGTTGCACAACGTGAATACACTAAAAATCACTAAATTGGACACTTTAAGATGATTAAAATAGTGAATTTTATGTTACGTAAGTTTTATCTCAAGTTCTTTTGAAGATGAAATTCTGTAGGAGGATAGAGAGTACAGGGTCAAAGTGGGGTGGTCTAGAAAGTAATTCATATTTCACATGGGTTGGTCAGGAATACCCTGCTGTCATCTGTTAAGGACACCAGAAAGAGATGGGAAGTAAGCTATAAATAAGGACATCAGACAATGAGCATACCAGACAGATGGGAGAACAATTTTCAAATCCTGGAGGTAGAAACATGCTTAGGGCTGCCTGTCCATGGAAGAGCGACACAGTCAAAATGGAAGGAGCGGAGTAAGGAGAGGAAATGCAGGCCCAAGGCAGACAAGGCTATATCCCACTGCGCTGAAAGGGTTTGCAGGTTCTGGTTTTCTGAGTAAGATGAGAGGCACTGGAGTGACATGACCTGACCTGTGGCTTCTGTGGATCACTGTGGCTTGAGTGGCAAATGAACTGTAGCGGGGAAAAGAGCAGAAATATGGACTCCAACTAGAGGCTTGGCAACAGCCCGAGAGAGAATGGTGACCTGGGTAAGGTTGTGGCAGCGGTAGAGCTGGTGAAAGGGGCCAGAGTCGAGTACTTTGAAAGTAGATATTGATAGAATTTGCTGCTATATAGGATGTGAGGCTTAAAAGACAGAAGTTAAGCGTGATATCCAGGTGTGGACAGAGAATGAAATTGATATTACTAAAATGTGGAACACTACAGAAAGAGCAGAGCTGGGAAAACTGAGGGATGTTCTTAAAAGTAAGTTTAAGACTCCTATGAAATATTAAGAGGGGTTCCAGCAGGAGGAAGGAAAATGGAGTCTGGAGTTCGATGCAGAGGATGAGGTTGCCAATATCAACCAGAGTCATTCACACAGAGCCAGTCTTCACAGCCCCACGGGTGAAGAGGATCATCCAGTGCAAGCTCTTGTATGACAGAACTTTCTACAATGATGAGATCTTCAGTATGGACATGTCTGTATTTGCCAAAGTATTAGCCACTGGCCACATGTGGCTATCGAACCCTGAAATGTAGCTGGTGTCCATAACACCGGACAGCACGGATCTAACGAATGAATGGAGGTGGCACAGACAAGAAATCTGAGCCATGAGCCCTGGGATACTCTTTATTGTTTAAAGGTCTGGAAATGGAGATTAAGAAGTAGACAGTTGTGGTAGATGCAGGACCAGAAAACAGTAGTCCCAGAAGTGAATGAGGAGTGCTTCCCAAAGGAGGAAGTGATTTATTGTGCAAAAAGTCACTGAGCAGAGAACCAAGGACCATGGAATTTGATGATGTGGAAGTAACTGGTGATCACAAATGAACATAAACACTATACCAGATTCTCTTATAGTTGATGCTTTGCAGAACTGTGAAATTTCAGAAACTTAACTGATAAGCTGCTTTATAACATATTGTCATTATATAGGCTGACTCAACAAAAGTTAATCATAATGCTAATTATTCCTGTAATATACTTTTGTTGAGGTCTCTGGGATTTTCCTGGAGCACTGCACTAAAGCCTCAAAGATCAGGCTGAGACCAAGAAAGAGGTCAGTTAAAGGAGCACAGTCAGAACAAAAAAGTTGTAACAATTTTTATTAGCAATCTACAGAGATAGATCATTTGAAGAAAATCTGGCATTAATTTGACTAGAAACAAGAAAAGTAAGAGGACTGAATAGTATAAAAATATACGTTGTTCTTTCAAGCGCAGCTGTTGTTATTTTTGAAATGTTCTTTGGCATCAGTTCTATAATCACGTATTTTAAATGTTTAAAGTGCTTATTGTCAAAATGGCACCTACCAAAGTGTGAACATCTCCTTCGTTCTGAGCCAGATCCCGCTTAGTGATGAGATGGTTCCGGTCCCCTTGCCCAGCACCGGTGTCGTTCTTCTCCGCTGCTTGCGAATTTGACACCTAGGGTCACATTAATAAACTGGTGGTAAATAATCATGAAAAACATTTTACATTGACATTTTTACATAAACTGTTATGTGTAATTAAAACATAGTGACTGACATTTTGGTATGACAGAAAATCCACTACGTACTTTATATGGTGAAAAGCACAGAAAATAAGTATTAGTCCTGAATATGTAAGAAAAAGTTACCTATGCTTAGCTATGATTTTTCTCCCCTTGCAGAGCCTAGAGGGGAAACTGATAAAACACACTGAAAGAGCCTGCAATTTCATAGGGTGCAATGTATGTGCTAGGATGGCCGTGACTATATCCAAAAGTATATAGAACTCCAGAGAATGACATTTTTCTGGGTCACTTAAGTCAAGAGAACCCACAGTAAAATGCTGTATCTTATCCCCAAAGACAATAAAGCATCCTTGACACAATATTATATGTAGACAAATCACAATGCAATGGAACCAAAGTCAAACTGGGTCACTTAAGAATATCTCCTGTCCTGGCTGGTTTGGCTCAGCAGTTAGAGCACTGGCCTGTGGACCAGAGAGTCCTGGGTCGGTTCCCGCTACGGGCACGTACCTCGGTTGCATTTTGGGGTCATGTGGGTGGAAACCAGGAGATGTGTCTCTCTCACATTGATGTTTCTCTCTCTCTCTTCCCTCCTCTTTCCCTCCAGCTCTATCTGAAGATAAAAGCAAAAATGTCCTCGGATGAGGATAAAAAAAATATATATATATATATCTCCTGAGGCTCTCTGGATACCACATAAATATACAGTTCACTAGGACTTCACAGAATTGATCCTTACTCATTATACAAATAAACAATTCACCCTTGGTGTACTGGTGATAAACTAAAATATTTTTGCAGAACGGATTTATGGATTAAAATAGTTGTTTCATTTCATGCATTTTTTTTAAAGCAATAAAATATCATAATGAACAGCCGCTATTGAGCCATTACCTTAATTCTCAAAGGATTGATCTCCACATCTGAAGCGCAGTTCATGGGCCCGTCAATGTCATATTGGAGGATGTACAACAAAGTGTTGTTGTTATATTTGTAAGGCCACTGAAGAGTTAGCATTGCCTTGCTGAATGAACTTGGACCGTTGTTTCTCAGCTAATGAAGAAAAGAAAATGTCAATACTTTGGACAAAAATTTACTCTATAATCCTTCCCCTAAATCAACTTAAGGAATCATTAGCAACAAGATTTGAAACAGTGAAGTTTCCATAGTTACTCTAATATTACAACATGACTGTTACTATGAAAAAAGATCAAACTCAGTATTGACCTCAAGTGTCAGGCAGTATATGCTATGATAAAAATATAAACAAAAGAGGAAAATATAAAAATGTTCTTGACGAGCCCTGGCCAGTTTGGTTCAGCGGTTAGAGCATCGGCCTGTGGTCCTGAGAGACCCGGGTTCGGTTCCCGTTAAGGGCATGATCACGTCGATGTTTCTCTCTCTCTCTCTCTCTCTTTTTCTCTCCCCCACCCACTCTATCTGAATAAAATATGGAAAAATGTCCTCGGGTGAGGATAAAAAAAAAAGTTCTTGACGAAAGATGGCATAGAAAATTTTCTTCCTACAGAAACAAAGTTTTGTCGATCTGCTATAAGCACTTTCAAATTTTTTTTTTTTTTTTATCCTCACCCGAGGATATTTTTCCATATTTTGTTCAGATAGAGTGGGAGGGGGAGAGAAAAAGAGAGAGAGAGAAACATCGATGTGAAAGGGACACATCAAGTGGTCGCCACCCACACGACCCAACCAGGGCCGGGGACAAACTGCAACCGAGGCACGTGCCCTTAGCAGGAACCGAACCGGGGTCTCTCTAGACTGCAGGCCAACGCTCTAACCGCTGAGCCAAACCGGCCCGGGCAGCATTTTCAATTTTTAATCGGAACTGTAAAATGTCCATATGAAAATACTCAATGACCTATTGTTTTATTCAAGTAGTACTAATAGGTTTTAAAAAATAATTTGTATAAACTGCTTTCTTTAACCACTTGTAGCTACTTGTCTAATAAAAATGAACTTGTGGGCCTGGTCGGTTTGGCTTGGTGGTAGAGTGGTGGCCCACGGACCAAAGAGCCATGGGTTCAATTCCGGTCAAGGGCACAGACTTTGGTTGTGGTTGGGTCCTTGGCCCTGGTCAGGGTCATGCACGAGGCAATCAATTGATGTGTCTCTCTCGTGTCAATATTGCCCCCCCCCACTCTATCTGAAGATTTTAAAAAATGGAAATAAGTATCCTCAGTGAAGATTTAAAAAAAAGAAGTTGTGAATTAATAGGGGAAAAATTCAAAGAACTCTCTGGTACATACTTAAACTATGAATGGTTGACATAAAAATTAAACAGACTTGTCTTTTAAAAGTAGCCTGTCTGTTCCTCTCTTTGCTGGCTCCCTCCCGGTGTCAGTTAAAACAACTGCAAACCTCATAGATGTGCTGGATGACCGGCCCGACGTCTTCCTCAGTCTCCGGCTTCTCCTTGTGCTCCCAATTTGGAATCGGAAGGAAGATGTGATCAGGACTTGAGACTCTAAACAATGACCAAAGAAAACCTACCATGAATATCAAAATGATACAGTCAGTTCATTTTCTAGAGCACCCTGTATCCAAATGAATAACAGGAGAATAAAAAAAAAGCGCTATATATTTATAAAAGAAAAAGACCTATACATGTACATACACACACACTCTCACATACACATATACATAAACTACTGTTTATTGAATCTAACATAGCAGGTGAATTGATGTCAATTTGTGAATTGATGTCAAAAGTTCAATAAACATATTTTGTGCCTGCTTTGGTCATATCTGGTTTATTTCCAGATGATAATCAAAGAAATACTTGGAACACACACCTAGAACTTTCTTTCTACAGAAGCTATAGTTCTTTTGTAAACCATCACCAAACATGGAGTGCCTGCTATCCAAAAGTAGCTAGGGGGCCTAATAGTTTACTTTGTAACTACTTTTTAAAAGTAGTTTAAATCATGAGAATGAGATAACCAACTCAGTAATTATACTGACCCTCTTATCTCAACAGCAGCTAAAACAGCAAGGTCAACTCTGTAAGATACAACTGGGCTTACTTTGTCAAAAAGATTGGAGCTGAAAGAGAAAAAAATACAGTTAGGACTGAATTGGACATCATCATCATCAAAATCATACAGAGGCAAATGCAGTGACACTAAAAATGAACAAATTAAAAGCAACAAAGAAATGAAACACATTAAATCAAAATAATTATTTTCAATAGCATTTAATTCCAAGAAGATGGTCAAGTTTCAACTTAACTTTAAATTTTGTTGTATAAACTCAAAACTGATAAAATTATTCTTATGATATACCAATGATTTTAAAATGGTGTAATCACGTCAAAAAATTTTAGTCTATTCCATATTAAATTCTATTACATTACATATTTATAACAAATATTTCTTCAATAGTTATAAATTAAAAAGGTGGTTTTTAGTCACCCCAATAAATTCAATAAAAAAAGAAAAGATTGTTTTTATACCTTTGGATTTGTAAATCAAATTTCACAGAAGTATCCATCTCTGATTGCTGGTGCACACTGAAACGGAGACCAGCTAAGAGCTGAAGGAGGAAGAAAAGATGGTAGTATCAGTTAACACAATATCTAATTAGTGAAATTTCAACATCCAATAAAAAGGAATATTCTAAAATAGGGTTTTTCTGAGCTTACAATAAACTGAAAGTATTTTAACAAAAAAAATTAAATCTGATCATTCTACCAAGTTTCTTTTAAGACACCTGGGCCAATCTATAATGGAGTCTATTGAACAACAGTTCTTAATTAGTCTTTACAAAGAAAAGCAAAGGTAAATGTTTATTGATTCAATGAAAGTAAACAATTATGCACAATGATTTGGATACAGGAAGCTAACAAATGACCTTATGTTAACAGAGCAGGAAGGAAGAAATGGATGGTTTAAATGACTAAGAAAACTTGATTAAAGAATGCATAAGTAGGACCAGAACCAGGATTTCTCCACACTGTTCACAACTTATCAAGACCAAGCGTTCTAACTTCTGCAGGTGGAAAACTGATATTTTATTTTATTTTATTTTTTATTTTTTTCTATTTTTTTATGACTTTTTATTTATTTTTTTGTTACAGATATTTTACCTTTTTACCCCATTGGCACCCCCCACCCCACCCCACCCCACCTCCGCCCCGTCCCCGGCTTAGTTGTCCATGTCCATTGGTCATGCATACATGCATATAAGTTCTGTGGTTTAACTCTTCCCACCCCCCCACCCCCTCACCCCCTCTTCTGAGGGATGTCAGTCTGTGCCCTACTTCCATGTTTCTGGATCTACTGTATTCCTCAGACTGTTATGTTCATTATATTCCGTATATAAGTGAGATCATGTGGTATTTGTCTTTTTCTGCTTGGCTTCTTTCACTTAGGATAATACTTTCCAGGTCCCTCCATGTCGTCTCAAAGGATAAGAGATTTTTCTTTCTTACCGCTGCATAGTACTCCATTGTGTATATGTACCACAGCTTTTTTATCCATTCGTCTACTGGTGGACACTTGGGCTGTTTCCAGATCTTAGCTATTGTAAATAGTGCTGCTATGAACATGGGGGTACATATATTCTTCCTGATTGGTGTTTCAGGCTTCTTAGGGTATATTCCCAGCAGTGGGATCACTGAGTCAAATGGAAGTTCAATTTTTAATTTTTTGAGGTAGCACCATATTGTTTTCCATAACGGCTGCACCAGTCTGCATTCCCACCAGCAGTGTACTAGAGTCCCCTTTTCTCCACACCCTCACCAACACCTGTTGTTTGATGATTTGTTGATGGCGGCCATTCTGACAGGTGTGAGGTGATACCTCATTGTTGGAAAACTGATATATATATTTTTTTTTTTTGTACAGACAGAGTGGGAGGGAGAGAGAGGAAGAGAGAGAGAGGGAAACATCGATGTGAAAGGGACACATCGAGTGGCTGCCACCCGCACGACCAACCAGGGCCGGGGACAAACTGCAACCGAGGTAAGTGCCCTTAGCGGGAACCGAACCCGGGTCTCTCCGGACCGCAGGCGGACGCTCTAACCGCTGAGCCAAACCGGCCAGGGCGGAAAACTGATATTTTAAAGAGAACAACTGAGCCAAGCCGGTGTGGCACAGTGGTTGAGCGTCGACCCACGCACCAAGAGGTCACCGGTTAGATTCCCGGTCAGGGCACATGCCCATGCTGTGGGCCCAATCCCCAGTGTGGGGCATGCAGGAGGCAGCCAATCACTGTTCTCTTTCATCGATATTTCTGTTTCTCTCTCTCTCTCTCCCTTCCTCTCCTTTTAAAATCAATAAAGAAAAAAAATTCTTTTTAATAAAAAAAAATAAAGAGAACAACTGAGTTACAAGATAAGAGAAAGCAAGCTTTGGGATCATATAAATGACACACAGGGTATTTCTGGGGGATTTCAAACTGCCTCCCACTTTACAAAGTCTAAAGCTGGCCATTTTAAATAACCTGGAAACATCGTACTGAATGAGCTATGAGTGGAAAAGGTAGAGAGAATGAGAATATGAAAAAATAAAAAGCATATTCAACTTGTTAATGACACAGTGGGTTAAATATATGCGAAAAAATGCAATTCTAGGCATTTTGTTCAAACCCTACTATCTAAGAGCTCATACATCTAGAAGTAATGACGTTTAATGAAAATTATGCTTAAAGAATTATGGAATATTTCATTTTTATTTGATATACACACTGTATGAATTCAAGGTATAGAACATGATTTCATACATTAATAAACTGTAACGACCGCCTTTGTAGTGACAGCACCTTCATCGTGTCACACAATTATCATTTCTTTTTTGTAGCTGGAATAATTAAGATCCAGTCTCAGCACGTGTGATGATTATAATACAGCATTATTATCTACATTCTCAGTGCATTAAATCTCTAAGGCTTACTTACTACTAGTTGCAAGTCTGTGGTCCTAGAAGAGATGTGGTTTAAGGGTAAATACGGAATATTTAGCCCATATTATCACAGATCTTCAAATGACCAGTATCTATATCAACTGAAAAACGTAACACAAAACACTGCCATTTTCCCTTGATACTAGCAATTCTACAAAGTATAGTGTGGGGCAAAAGTAGGTTTACAGTTGAGAGTATGCAAAACACAGTTTACCCTTATATTATTATTATTTATTAATTACTGTATTTTTTCCATACAAAGAACTTTGCCCCACCCTATATTTTGTTTACTTTTTAGAGGATTTAGGAAGCAACCCATTGAGTGCATCTTCTCAAGCTCCCGGGCTACCTCCTCCACTACCTACCTGATTCAAACAAGGTGCTCCCTGATCCTGCATGGGACAACCACACAGGTTTCAAGTTAGTAAGAAATTCTATCTCACCTCAGAATGACAGTCTTGGTATTTGTCAGAGTAGCTTGAGAATTCATTAAACCATTCGTTTAAAATATCAAAGTTACAATTTCAGTACTTAAAACATGTTCTCATCCATTTACCAAACTGAAGGTAGTGTCAAGACCAGTTTATTGAATACAGTGCAACAACACAATACTAAAGTAAATTATTATTTTAGTCAAAACTAAACAAAACTCTACTAATCACTGCACTCTAAACTGAAATCAATTTAAAGACCCCATTTTGAAGTGTTTCGTTTTGGGGTTTTTTTTTTTAATTACTGTGGCCAAATTAATAGAAAAAATGTGCTACTTTCTTTAGAAGATAAAAAATTTCATTTAGTTAAAATGCCTTACTTGAGTTCCAGCCTTCATTGGGTTTCCGAGGTCACATACCACCTGGCGGGTTTGGTTTTCTGTCTTAAATGCACAGGAAAGTCTTGCTAAGGCCTTAAAAACGATTATAAGGAAAATAAATTAGTGACAAAAAAAAAGCCTTAAGACTAAAAACTCCCTAGACAATATGCAGTTAGATACTTAAGTTTCTTGTTTTACAAAGCAAATACATCCATTTGAGCAAATGAGATGGGAAGGCAGAAGCTGGAATTGTCTGCAACTGCCACATATAAATTTTAAAGTATTTCTGAAAGATCCCCTGAGGACTTAGATACCTAACCATATTACCTCTGACAAATACTCTGATGGACAGGCTTAGACACTTTATCTATCTGACCTTGTTTCAGGCACTTAGCTAGCAATTCTAAAAATGTCATATCAATGCATTATGCAGAGTATCAGGCTTTAAAGGAATTATGTAAGATGGGCACTCTATTGTCTAGCAATTTTGCCTTAGGTAGAATGGCTAAACCTGCACTGCACTAAACAGGGGATTAGTTCATTAATGTTAATGAGACCTAGGAGTGCGTTTCGATTTTTAAACCGGCAGTTTGCTTACTTCACTGTTGCGGACAACCCCGATGAAATCAGCCTGTGGTGGGATGGAAACGGTGAGCTCAGCTTCATAAGCACCTTCTCCTTGGTTCTGAGCCTTCACAATCAATGTCAGAGGGTTGTCGTCCCCAACATAGATCTTCTTTTGATCTCTACAAGTTAATACAAATCTAGACAATGAAAGAAGACTGCATAGGGATAGCATGACTGTTCAAAGAAGAAGAGACAAATACACAGATAGCACTGACATGTTCCACAGCGTCTCAAGATATTTTAAGACAACTTCACAGCTTAATAGAAAACTGGAAATAGCTCACTGGGTGCAAATCCAATGCTTCTCTAAGCGACAGAATGTTGATGCCACCAGCATATCACGACCATTCACATCTTTACTGAAGTAATCTTATATCTCTTTGTATGTACTTACTAATTCTCTGATTTTATCCAAAATATTGAATCATTTGTCATGATTCTCACAGAATTCTTTCTAATTTACATATCATATAAATGGTAATCAGATTCCTTTAGTTAGGAGTATATCAATAATGAAATGTGTCTTTAAGAGGATTTAATGTTACTTTGTGACACTATTCAATGAAGAATGGGAATAGGTGTCAACAACCAGTGGAAACACAGCACCTATTTTTTTGAAGCTCAATACTCATAGTTTTACCATTATAAAAAATTATCTATTATCCTCTAATATAACTAATTCTCATTAAAATATACTATTACTTTGAGTAGAAAAATGAGCTCTTCCATTTAAATTTCTTATTATATTGTATAATAGTTGGATCCAACCTTACCTATCTACGGAAACTTCGAGTTTGGGTTTACAAACATTGTCTTCCCCACAGTCAAGGAGAATATGAGCCTAAGAAAGAAAAGCAATTTATTTTTCCTACATGAAAAAGATAGCAATACGGGTCATACATGCAGTATACACCAAAATATATGTAAAGTATGTGAATATACATACACACACATACACGCACATATTTACATAGATTCATCGACTTATTTGCATATCTAAATGGAAAAGTAATCATAGCCACTTACTTTTTTTTCTTTATTGATTTTAGAGAGAGAGGAAGGGAGAGGGAGACAGAAACATCGACAAGAGAAGACATCGATTCGCTGCCTCCTGCATGCCCCCCACTGGGGATTTGGCCCACAACCTGGACATGTGCCCTGACCAGGAATCAAACCGGTGACCTGTTGGTACATTATGCTCAATCACTGAGCCACACCAGCCAGGCATAGCCACTTACTTTTAAACAAGTCAGTAAACAGTCAAGAGTGACAAGGAAGAAAAAGAATCATAGGACAGAATACAGTTAGTTGGAGCCATTTAGTTCTATCTCAAATCAAGCTGTTATGATTTTGGCATGTAGTGTCATGCAGAAGAGAAAGTAACGCAAGAAATGAGAGTTCAGCTGCCACTAGTTAAGTTGTGTGACCTTGGGCAAAATAAACTCCCTTCTAGGGTTTCTCATTACAAACTGTGCCTCTGCCAACATCATGGGAATATGGCTACAGAGAGTAAAAGAATAAGGAGCTGTGGATATACAGGAGCAATTCAGACAGGCAAACCAAAGGGAACAGAAACTGGCAGTGATGAAGGAAAATGTTCTAGATGCATTCAGGTCAGCCTATCCAGGACAGGTGAAGTAAGCAAACACCTGAACTTCTCTCGCCAGTCTGGTCATGAGCGTGCCTGCTGGAGCGATATGGAAACTGTGGAAGAAATAGTGGGAGGGAGCAAAAGAGGTCGAGGATGACTTGAAAGAAGGAATATAAAAATTAAGGAAAGAAGAAAGAAAAAAAAATAAGGCCACTTTGGGTTTGTCTATTGTTAATATCCAAAGGGCTTCAGTTCCAAAAGCAGACAGAAAGAGAAAAAAGATTTAAAGGGGAAAAATAAGGAAAACCTTCCCTGAAAAAAAATTTTTAAAAGGTGACTGTATGCTTCCAAGTCACTAGAAGGGATACACAGCCACCCAGAATAAAATTATATGATAGACATCTTAACTGTAAATTGAATTGGCAATGAAAGCCAACAATGTATGTAAATTAATTTCCCAAACCTAGATGTAAGCCGTTTCTATGCACTTCAAGAAGGGGTTAGTGGGGCAGGACCATTAGAAAATGATTCTTTAAGTCATACCAAACACAATCACAGCTAAATTAGCTCAGGAATAAAAAGTGTGGATTTTGCAGATAATAAATTAACTAGTGACATGGTGTATATTAAAAACTTCAGAATGATGAGTATCTGAGGTTTGGAATGAGAAATATATATGAAATATTAATAAACTAGTACAGGGATATTTGGCTAACCATCACTCTATATCAAAGAAAACAGGCTTAGCTGGCATTGGTGTAGCTAAAGTATTAAAATATGCTATCAAGAAAGATTGTTTCATGCCCAGTCGGTGTGGCTCAGTGGATGAGCATCGACCCATGCACTAAGAGGTCACCAGTTCAATTCCTGGTCAGGGCACATGTCCAGATTGTGGACCCAATCCCCAGTGAGCGGCATGCAGGAGGCGGCCAATTGATGTTCTCTCTCATCAATGTTTCTATCTCTTTCTCTCTCTCTAAAATCAATAAAGAAAAAATATTTAAAAAAAAAAAAAAAATGATCGTTTCAGAAATGCAAAAGTATACAGCAATGTCTTCCATTTACAGAGAACCAAATTTCTAGTTAAATACTTAATACCTTGCACAGAATAAGAACTTACTACACATTTGAATAAATACATGAAGGGCAGGAGAAAAACACTAATCTTTCTCCAGAAAGCACTAAACCTCTAACTCCAAAGAATTAGGATGCAGAAAGGGAAACCCCAGAGTTACCCTGGCCAATACAGCAGCCACTAGCAGCCACATGTGGCTTTTGAGCCGTTGAAATGCGCCTAGTGTGACTAAGAAATTTATCTATTATTTTACTTTAATATTTTTAATCCTCACCTGAGGGTATGTTTTTATTGATTTGAGAGAGGAAAAGAGAGAAACATCAATGTGAGAAAGAAACTTCGATTGGCTGTCTCCTGTATGCCTCCCCAGCTGGGGATCAAACCCCCAACCTAGGTATGTACACTGCCCAGGAATCAAACCCGAAACCTTTTAGTGTATGGACAGTGCTCCAACCAACTGAGCCACCTGGCCAGGGCCCAAGAAATGTCTTTTTGAATTTTATTAAATTTAAATTAATTTAGCCCTGGCCAGTTTGGCTCAGAAGTTAGAGTGTCGGTTCGCGGACCAGAGAGTACTGGGTTCAGTTCCCGCTAAGGTCATGTACCTTGGTTGCAGTTTGTCCCTGGCCCTGGGTGGGGTTGTGTGGGTGGCAACTAGTTGAGGTGTTTCTCTTACATCAATGTTTCTCTCTCTCTCTCTCTTCGTCCCCCTCTCCTTCCCACTCTATCTGAAGATAAATGCAGAAATGTCTTCAGTTGAGAATAAATAGAAAAAAAATTTAATTAATTTCAATTTAAAAACTGATACTCGATTCTTTTTTTTTTTTATGAATTTTTTATTTATTTTTTTGTTACAGATATTTTACCTTTTTACCCCATTGGCACCCCCCACCCAACCCCACCTCCGCACCGTCCCGGGCTTAGCTGTCCATGTCCATTGGTCATGCATACATGCATATAAGTTCTATGGTTTATCTCTTCCCAGCCCCCACCCCCCCACCCCCTCTTCTGAGGGATGTCAGTCTGTGCCCTACTTCCATGTTTCTGGGTCTACTGTATTCCTCAGACTGTTATGTTCATTATATTCCGTATATAAGTGAGATCATGTGGTATTTCTCTTTTTCTGCTTGGCTTCTTTCACTTAGGATAATACTTTCCAGGTCCCTCCATGTCGTCTCAAAGGATAACAGATCTTTCTTTCTTACCACTGCATAGTACTCCATTGTGTATATGTACCACTGCTTTTTTATTCATTCGTCTACTGGTGGACACTTGGGCTGTTTCCAGATCTTAGCTATTGTAAATAGTGCTGCTATGAACATGGGGGTACATATATTCTTCCTGATTGGTGTTTCAGGCTTCTTAGGGTATATTCCCAGCAGTGGGATCACTGGGTCAAATGGAAATTCAATTTTTAATTTTTTGAGGTAGCACCATATTGTTTTCCATAGCTGCTGCACCAGTCTGCATTCCCACCAGCAGTGTATTAGAGTCCCCTTTTCTCCACACCCTCGCCAACACTTGTTGTTTGATGATTTGTTGATGGCGGCCATTCTGACAGGTGTGAGGTGATACCTCATTGTTGTTTTGATTTGCATCTCTCTGATGATTAGTGATGTTGAGCATTTCTTCATATGTCTTTTGGCCATTTGTATGTACTGTTTGGAGAGGTGTCTATTTAGCTCCTCTGCCCATTTTTTAATTGGGTTCTTTGTCTTCCTTTTGTTGAGTTGTAGGAGCACTCTATATATATGGGAAATTAACCCCTTATCTGATACATCATTGGCAATGATGTTCTCCCATACAGTGGGTTGCCTTTCCATTTTGATGATTGTTTCTTTTGCTGTGCAGAAGCTTTTTAGTTTGATGTAGTCCCATGTGTTCATTTTCTCCTTTATTTCTTGTCTTAGGTGATGTATCAGTGAAAATTCTGCTCTGTATTATGTCCGAAATTTTGTTGCCTACATTTTCTTCTAGAATTTTTATGGATTCACGGGTCACATTTAAGTCTTTTATCCATTTTGAGTTTATTTTTGTGTATGGTGTAAGTTGATGGTCTAGTTTCATTTTTTTTGCATGTAGCTGTCCAATTTTCCCAACACAATTTATTAAAGAGGCTGTCTTTACTCCACTGTATGCTCTTGCCACCTTTGTCAAATATTAATTGAGTGCATTGCTTTGGGTCCATTTCTGGGTTTTCAGTTCTGTTCCACTGGTCTATATGCCTGTTCTTGTGCCAGTACCAGGCTGTTTTGGTTACAGTCGCTTTGTAGTATAACCTGATATCTGGTATTGTGATCCCACCTTCTTTGTTCTTTTTTTTCAAGATTGCTGTGGCTATTCGGGGTCTTTTTTGGTTCCATATGAACTTTTGAAGTATTTGTTCTAGTTCTATGAAATATGTCGTTGGTATTTTGATGGGGATTGCATTGAATCTATAGATTGCTTTGGGTAGTATGGACATTTTAATGATGTTAATTCTTCCAATCCATGAACAGGGTATGTGCTTCCACTTTTTTATATCTTCCTCTACTTCTTTTTTCAATGACCTGTAGTTTTCTGCAAATAGGTCCTTTACTTCTTTGGTTAAGTTTATTCCTAGGTATCGTAATTTTTTTGGAGCGATGGTAAATGGGATTGTTTTTTCAGTTTCTCTTTCTGTGAGTTCATCATTGGTGTACAAGAATGCCATCGATTTCTTGATGTTAATTTTGTATCCTGCTACTTTGCCAAATTCATTTATTAAGTCTAGTAGATTTTTGGTGGAGTCTTTAGGGTTTTCTATGTACAATATCATGTCATCTGCAAATAATGACAGCTTCACTTCCTCCTTTCCAATTTGGATCCCTTTTATTTTTTCTTCATGTCTGATTGCTGTGTTTAAGACTTCCAGTACAATGTTAAATAAGAGTGGCGAAAGTGGACATCCCTGTCTTGTTCCTGTTCTTAATGGAAATGTTTTTAGTTTCTGTCCATTGAGTATGATGTTGGCTGTAGGTCTTTCATATATGGCCTTTATTATGTCGAGATATGATCCCTCTATTCCTACATTGCTGAGCATTTTTATCAGAAATGGATGCTGGATTTTGTCGAATGCTTTTTCAGCATCTATTGATATGATCATGTGGTTTTTATTCTTCATTTTGTTTATGTGGTGTATCACGTTTATTGATTTGCGAATATTGTACCAGCCTTGCATCCCTGGAATGAATCCCACTTGGTCATGGTGAATAATTTTTTTGATGTATTTCTGGATCCGATTTGCTAATATTTTGTTCAGGATTTTGGCGTCTATGTTCATCAGGGATATTGGCCTGTAGTTTTCTTTCTTCGTAGTGTCTTTTTCTGGTTTTGGAATTAGAATTATGCTGGCCTCATAGAACGTGTTTGGAAGTCTTCCTTCTTCTTGAATTTTTTGAAATAGTTTGAGGAGAATGGGTGTTAGTTCTTTTTTGAATGTTCGGTAAAACTCCCCCATGAAGCCATCTGGGCCTGGGCTTTTGTTTGCTGGAAGAGTCTTGATTACCTCTTCAATTTCCTTAGTTGTTATTGGTCTGTTCAAGTTTTCTATCTCTTCCGGGAATAGTTTTGGGAGACTGTGTGTTTCTAGAAATTTGTCCATTTTGCTTAGATTGTCGAATTTGTTGCCATATAGTTGTTCATAGTAGTTGTTAATGATCTTTTGTATTTCTGTGGTGTTGGTTGTTACTTCTCCTCTTTCATTTCTGATTTTGTGTATTTGGGTGCTCTCTCTTTGTTTCTTGGTGAGTCTAGCTAAGGGTCCATCAATCTTGCTTATCTTTTCGAAAAACCAGCTCTTTGTTTCATTGATCCTTTGATACTCGATTCTTTAAACTAAAAAACTTCTAGTATGTTTAGAACTTAATTATGTGAATCTATTTTTTCAGCTGCAAAATATATAAATTCTAAATACAGAACAAATATCTGTGATGAAACTTTAGCATTTGAATTGAGAGATGCTGTGTGTAATATTACACTCTGGACTTTGAAGACAGTAAAAAAAGTAGAATGCGAAATATTTCACTGATAATGTTTAATTTGATTACATAGTCAAATGATATTATTTTAGTTTCATGGACTGTTTTGTGTTCCCCCCAATTCATATGTTGAAGTCCACAATGTGACTTATATTTGGAGATATGGTCTTTAAAGAGGTAATTAGGTTAAAATGACATCATTAGGGTGGGCCCTAACCCAACATGACTGGTGCTTTATAAGGAGATTGGGACACAGACACACACAGGGGGACCATGTGAAGACGAAGAAGATGGCCGTCTACAAGCCAGGGGTGAGGTTTAGAAGAAACTAACCTGCTGACACCTGCTCTTGGACTTCACGCCTCCAGAACAAATTCCTATTGATGAAGCCACCACTCTGTAGTACTTTGTTATGATTGTCCAAGTAAACTAATACAGATATACTATTAAAATTAATTTTGCCTGTTTTCTATCTTTTTTTAAAAATGTTGCTGACCAGCCCTGGCCGGTTTGGCTCAGCGGTTAGAGCGCCGGCCTGCGGTCCTGAGAGACCCGGGTTCGGTTCCCGCTAAGGGCGGGTACCTCGGTTGCAGTTTGTCCCCGACCCTGGTCGGTTGTGTGGGTGGCAGCCACTCGATGTGTTTCTTTCACATCGATGTTTCTCTCTCTCTCTCTGTTCCTCTCTCTCCCTCCCACTCTACCTGAACAAAAAATGGAAAAATGTCCTCGAGTGAGGATAAAAAAAAAATTTTTTTAAAATTAAAAAAAATAAAATGTTGCTGACCAGCCTGGCCGGTTTGGCTCAGCGGTTAGAGCATCGGCCCACAGACCAGAGAGTCCCGGGTTCGGTTCCCGATAAGGGCGAGTACCTCGGTGTAGTTTGTCCCCAGCCCCGGAAGAGGTCATGTGGGTGGCAACCAGTCGATGTGTCTCTCTCACATCGATGTTTCTCTCTCTCTCTCCCTCCCACTCTAACTGAATATAAATGCAAAACAAAAAAAAAAATGTCCTCTGGCGAGGATAAAAATAATAATTACAAAATGTTGCTGACCAGCCAATTTAAAATTACAAATGTGGCTCATGTTATATTTCTGTTGAACAGAAGGACTTTATAGAGCATACAGTAAACAAGTTTGTAATATGACCAGTGAAATAAAGGACCTATTTTATTTTATTTTTTTTAATCCTCACCCGAGGATATTTTTCCATTGATTCCCAAATAGAGTGGGAGGAAGGGAGAGAGAGAGAGAGAGAAGGAGAAAAACATTGATGTGAGAGAGACACATCAATTGGCTGCCTCCCGCATGACCCCAACCAGGGCTGGGGGTCAAACCAAGGTACGTGTCCTTGACCGGAATCGAACCCAAGACTCTTTGGTCTGCAGGTCGACTGAGCCAAACCAGCTAGGGCAATAAAGCACCAATTTTAAAAAGTAGTAAATAATAAGAATGGTGGGTGGGCAAATAATATAGGAATGAGAGTAAATAATAAAGCTCCCAATGCAGAAGGAAAAATGCCTAAATGTAAGTAATGCTATTGTTGAAACAAATGAACACAAGGGAAAAAAGAAACATTCAAATAATGAAACGCAAGAAAGAAGGAGGAAAAAAGGAAGTCAAATATTATTAAAGTTAGTATTTCTCTCAGAGGACTTCAAAAGTTAGCCTAGTTACTTGATTATCTGGCTTATACACTCTATTGGTATTAAAGAGATTGGTGATCTCACTAAGTTAATAAAAAGTAATGTTAAGCCTTGGTCAGTTTGGCTCAGCAGTTAGAGCGTCAGCCCTCGGACCAACGGGTTGCAAGTTCGATTCCTAGCCCAGGTCATGGCTTGGTGGACGCAACAAATCAATGTGTCTCTCTCATATGGATATTTCTCTCTTTCTCTCTCTCTCTCTCTCTCCCTCCCTTCCAACTCTATCTAAAAATCAATGGAAAAATATGCTCAGGTGACAATTAACACACAAAAAGAAACAAAAAAGTAATGTTAACACTAATAAATGTTTTCCAAAAATTTCTAAAACTCTAGAGAGAAAATAATTATAATCCAAAATCAAAACACATAATGTAAAAGTACAAGTAACAATTAACTTTTAAAAAGTACAAAATTAGCCCTGGTCGGTTTGGCTCAGTGGTTAGAGTGTTAGCCTGCAGACCAGAGAGTTGTGGGTTTGATTCCCAGCCAGGGGTGCATGCCTGGGTTGTGGGTTCAATCCCTGGCCCTGGATGGGGTCGTGCAGGAGGCAACCAATCGATGTCTCTCTCCCTCTCCCTCTCTCGCTCTCTCTCTCACTTTCACTCTCCCTCTCCCACTCCATCTGAAGATAAATGGAAAAGTGTCCTAGAATGAGGATTAAAAAAAGAGTATAAAATTGAATGACAGCCTCTAAGAGGCTCAAATGTTCATTATTAAATTATTAATTAACATAATATTATGGATCCTCTAAAAAATATATAAAGAAAAGGAATATAAAATATAAAGAATATAAAGGGCTGTGTTTACAAGTTTTATATAAATGGGTAGTAGAAAGTGACACATATATCCTAATTATTCATGTGCAAAATAAAACATTTTTTTAAATTATTAAAATATACAAATCATGGAATACCTTAAAATATATTTTAATTTGCCTTATATATCTACCATATATAGTTTCATCAAATCACACACAAAAAAGAATTTTTGTGATATTAGAGTTTTAGACAAAGAAGAAATAACAACCAAAATTCAGGATAAAGCATTCTACAAAAGAAAAAAATTAATCTAAAAATATGAACATGTAATAAAAAAGAGGAAGAAATAAGAAATACAATCATAATTTTTGAATACATGGGTTTTACATAAAATTTTTTAAAATATATTACAGTCTTTATTAAATTTTATGGCTTTAGTTTTATGAAAAGAATGTACTATAGATGTATATGTATTTTTTATAATTAAATTGTAAGTCAAAGATAAAACAGATATAAAACTTGTTCAGCAAAATACTAAAATACTATGTAAATAAACTGGTGTACTGATGTTTTCCTTGAATTATTTAACTGTTTTATATGACCTCATCTTTCTTTCCATATCACTAAGTTCTAAGTGGCTTTAAATATCTTTAACCTGAAAGTTCAGATTCCTTCCCCTCTGACTTCTTTGACTAAAATCCCAAGATTATCAAAGCAATCCCCTGTGGTTTTTTTTTTTTTTTTTTTATCCTCACCTGAGGACATTTTTCCATTTTTTGTTCAGATAGAGTGGGAGGGAGAGAGAGGAAGAGAGAGAGAGAGAAACATCGATGTGAAAGGGACAGATCGAGTGGCTGCCACCTGCACAACCCAACCAGGGCCGGGGACAAACTGCAATCGAGGTACGTGCCCTTAGCGGGAACTGAACCTGGGTCTCTCTGGACCACAGGTCGATGCTCTAACCACTGAGCAAAACCAGCCAGGGCCCTTGTGATATTTTAAAGTATGAACTGCAAGATCATAAAAAAATTAAAGTATAGCCCAGCCAGTATGGCTCAGTGGTTGAGCATCGACCCAGGCACCAACGGGTTAGTTTGCTTCCCAGTCAGGGCACATGCCCAGTTTGTGGGTCCCATCCTCAGTGGGGGCATGCAGGAGGTGGCCAGTTGATGTTCTCTCTCGTCGATGTTTCCATCTCTCTCTCCCTCTCCCTTCCTTTTTCTCTAAAATTCATTAAAAAAAATTTTTTTTAAAACAGAAAAGTATAAAATTAGTGGTAAAGTGAGAAATTATGGTACCTGTCGACTGACGTTGGCGGGGGTGAACTGGTTAAGCACGGGCTGCAAGCCTGTGGAATCAGCAGCTGTTCTGTAATCCAACCGATACTCCATAAAAACAGTGATTGGAGTGAGTTTGTCTCTAAATTCAGACTCATCCTAGAAATGGAAAAGCTATGAATTAATGATGACATCAACCTATGACATCAAACTGGAGAAACCCGTAAGTGCAGAATACAAAGCCAGGTAGCTGTATTACTAATCTCTTGATCCAATTCTACCAACCCCTCTGGTAAAACTATCCTTATAAATAGAGTATCCAAAAAGATTATCATTATTCATGGAGAACGCTTATTCAGTTTTTGTATTGTCATGTAATATTTGACTCACACAAAAATATACCAAGCACATTAATAAAATGCGCACTCAATGCACACCCGATATAACTGGAACATTACTGATATTACTTAAGCTATCCATGTGTTCCTGTTTAAACCCCTCTGCCTTCTGTCTCTGAGGTAACCACAGTCCTGAATTTGAAGTTCACCATTCCCTTGACTGCTTTCAGCAGTTTTAACATAGTGTATATATCTCTAAACAATGTTCTTGAGTTTGCTTTTCCCACTTATTTAAAATTAGATCAAATATATTATTTTGTGATTTGCTTCCTTCTGTTCAATACTCTTGTTGAGATTCACCCATGCTGCTGCATGTAGCTGAGGTTAAGTTTCACCACTGAGTAATATTTCATCATATAATGAATCCAATATTAATTTGTCCATTCTCCTACCAAACGTTACTTGGATTTTGTAGTGCTTTTTGTTTGTTTTTGCTATGACAAAAATAGTGTTGTAATGATTCTTCTACAGAGCAACAAGGAGTTTGTCAGCTGTAAACCTTATCAATACCCAAACAATTTACACTGCCATTAGCAATGTGTAAGGATTCTCATTAATTCACATCTTCACCAACTGACAGGTATTGGAAGATTTTGTTTGAATGTAAGACAGTATTACTTCATGATTATAACAAAGCATTTGTCCTGGTTAAATCACATTTATCTAATTTAATCAAAATCTTTTTGTACACTTAAGTAACATGATCGTGATTTTTCAGTTTATTCATATTCATTTACATTTCAGTATTTTTAATGTTAACACACCCTAGAATTTCATTAGCTTAGTAATTCTGCATCTATGTCTTTGTGTAAGACTGGCATGAAATTTTGTTTCCTCTTTTATTTGTAGTTTTCAATGCCTAATTTTGTGGAGGTTTTTCCCTTCATTTTTTTTTTCTTAACCTTTCATTTAAGTTAAATAGCATTTAAGGCTATGCATTTATCTTTACATTCTGATAAACTGTGACATCCCATTTTTTGTTTGTTTTTAAATATATGTTGAATTTACTGGAGTGACATTTAATAAAATTATATAGGTTTCAGGAGTACAATTCAGGTGTACAAATACACCTGGTTCACCACCCCAAATCAAGTCTCCATCACCATTTGTCCCCCGTTACCCTCTTTTTACTTACCCCTCCACTCCACTTTCCTCTGGTGATCACCACGCTGTTGTCTGTGTCTATGAGTTTGTTTTTTGCTTAACACCTTCGGCCCTTTTCATCTGCCCCACCCAGCCCCTGACAGCTGTCAGTTTGTTCTCTGTATCTATAAGTCTACTTCTGTCGTGTTTATTTTGTTCATTAGATTCCACATATAAGTGAAATCATATGGCACTTGTCTTTCTCTGACTGGCTTATTTCACTTAGCATAATGCTCTCCAGGTCCACCTATGCTGTCGCAAAAGCCAAGATTTCTTTCTTTATGTTCAAGTAGTATTCCATTGTGCAAATGTACCACAACTTTTTATCCAATTATCTACTGATGGGCACTTGAGCTGCTTCCAAATCTTATTGCAAATAATGCTTTAATGAACATAGGAGTGCATGTATTCTTTCAAATTAGTATTTCAGTTTCTTCAGATATATTCCCAGAAGTGGGATTGCTGGGTCAAAGAGCAGTTCCATTTTAAATTTTTTGAGGTAACTCCATACGACTTTTCAGTGACTGCACCAATCTGCATTCCCCCAACAGTGCACAAAGGTTCTCTTTTCTCCACATCCTCACCAACACTAGTTTGTTGATTTATTGATAGCCACTCTGACAGGTGTGATTTGATATCTCATTGTGGTTTTCATGTGCATTTCTCTGATGATTAGTGACACTGAGCATCTTTTCATATGTCTATTGGCTTTCTGTATGTCCTCTTTGGAGAAGCATCTATTCAGGACCTTTGCAATTTTTTAAATGGATTGTTTGTTTCTGGTGTTGAGTTTTGTAAGTTCTTTATAAATGTTGGATAGTAACCCCTTATCAAATGTATCACTGGCTAATATGTTCTTCTATTAAGTGGATTGTCTTCTCATATTGTTGATGGTTTCCTTTGCTGTGCAAAAACTTTCTAGTTGAATGTAGTCCCATTTGTTTATTTTCTCTTTTGCTTCCCTTGCTCAAGGAGATGTATCAGAAAAAATATTGCTACGAGAAATGTCTGAAATTTTACTGCCTATGTTTTCTTCTAGGATTTTTATGGTTTTGAGTGTAACAGTTAAGTCTTTAACACATTCTGAGTTTATTGTTGTGTATGGTGTAAGAAAGTGGGCTAGTTTTTTTTGTTTTGGGGGGGGGCAGTTTGCACATACCTGTCCAATTTTTCCCTACACCATTTATTGACTAGACTATTTTTACCCCATTGTATGTTCTTATCTCCTTTGTCAAATATTAATTGACCATAAAGACGTGGGTTGATTTCTGGGCTCTCTATTTTGTTCTATTGATCTGTATGTCTGTATTTATGCCAGTTTCATGCTGTTTTGACTATGATGGCTTTGTAGTATGGTTTGATATCAGGTAATGTGATTCCTCAAACTTTCTCTTTCTCAAGATTGCTGTGGCTATTTGAGGTCTTTTGTGGTTCCATTTAAATTTTTGAAATACTTGTTTTAGTTCTATAAAATATGCCATTAGTACCTTGAAAGAAATTGCATTGAAACTATAGATTGCTTTGGGTAGTATGCACATTTTAATGTTAATTTTTCCAATCCATGAACACAATATATGCTTCCACTTATTTGTATCTTCTTCACTTTCTCTCTTCAGTGTCATAATTTTCTGAGTACAAGTATTTTACACTTCTCAGGGGGACCCCCCACAGCTGACCTATCCCTCCAGAATCTCAGCCTCTGCCCACAGAGCGGGGCCAGCCCTTTTTGCATATCTGCCCTTCCTACCAGTCTCAATGTGGCTTCTTCTGTAAATCCTTGGTTGTAAGACTTCTCTACTTGACTTGTGTTGGTGAGCACACAATACAATATACAGATGAAGCCCTGGCTGGTTTGGCTCAGCGGTTGGAGCATTGGCCTGTGGACCAGAGAGTCCCGGGTTCAGTTCCCACTAGGGGCACATACCCCCTCCCCCCAAAAAACAATATACAGATGAAGTGATAGAATTATACACCTGAAACCTATATAATTTTATTAACCAATGTCACCCCAATAAATTCAATCAAAAAGAAAATGCTTCTCTTCAGCTAGTCTTCAGTTGGTTATACATGTTGCTCCCTTTATATTTTAACTGTAATTCAGTTTGGTCCTGGGAAGAGGTGAGTGTAATATCCACTTACTCTGCCACCATCCTGGATCCCCACACATTTTGATATACAATATTTTCATTATGATTCAATTCTAAGTAAATTTCCATTATGATCTCTTCTTTGACCTATGTTAAAGTCACAACTTCTACCTCTCTATTTTTTGTTATTGATTTGCAAAAATCACATTGTGATCAAATAGCATATTTTCTATGATACCAATTTCTTAATTGGTTTAGACTTCTTTATGACCTATATACAATCAACTTTTATATTCTCTAATTGTTGGGTGCCAGGTTCTATGTAGGTCTGTTATATCGAGCCAGGCAAGTCTGACCCCCTGTGCTGGTGTCTACAATTACTGTTCACCCTCTCCCCTGAATCCATCCTACCCCAGTCACCCTGGATCACATGTCTGCTTACAACTCACAAGTCAGATTCAGCCAATGGCAGTTTTTAATTGCTTGCTTATTTGGGGGGACCCTGAAAATTTCTTGTACTATCTTGAGAGTTCAGCAGTTTTTAAGAAATACATCCGCAGCATTATTGTGGGAAGGCTATTTGGAATATCCAGTCTACCAAGAGTAGAAGTCCATTACTCAGGTTTGACATTTTAAAAAGCCACACTTCCTCAAGTGTATTTTCCTGTGCTTTCCTATTGATTTAATACTCAAAAAATGTATAGAATAGGAAAATCATCTAGATGAGAAAAAAAAACAGTAAGTCAAAAGAAAAGATAATGGAGCAGAGAAATCTCTCTTACCCGCAGGTATGCTACCAGTTCCTCACACTGCATCTGGCCCCCCCTTGAAATGGTCATGTTCTTGGAGTGACCCGGGGACCTGTTATGGAGAAACAGTGCTCGTCGAATTGCTCCTTTTTGCTTGAGTTTATCCAAAAGAAGCTCCACCTGGAAGTCTATACAAACCAAAGGATTTATAACCAATATCATGTTTCTGGATATCTATCTGTCCTAGACATCATGAGTTTTCATGTAAACAGAAATTTTTATTCCTTTAAAAAGTAATTTGCTCATAATTCATCAAGGATTTCTAAACATTGTGGTGAATACTACTATATCAAACACTAGGATGAATGAACAGTTTGCATCCTACTTCCATTTAAGCCACTGTTGTGACTATCAAATTGTCACACAAATATGTCTCTCTGGACGCAAGTGACCACATATAGTTGTCTGGATCAAGAATCACCTTAAAATGAATGTGCAGCCAATAGTCTGAAGCACATCTGTTAGGATTACTGCTTCTAAGACTCCGGTCTTTAAGGAGTTTCTTCAAAGGGGGAAAGAGTGCAGGTCTTTCAAACCACAAATGTCTTCCCAAGTTTCTCTAACTGTTGAACTTCATGTCAAATGTGGGTGAAAACCCAGGGTTATTTTGCTCCCAGTTCTGTTCCATTCACCACACTGCCCTCCTTGCTGTTTCTCAAGCACACTAAGCATGCTCTTGCCCCCAGCCTCCTGAAATTACCATTTCCTCTGTGCACAATACTCCTCTAGACATCCGCCAGCTTCTCCCTCTCCTTGCAACCCTGTATGAACTTTCCTGCAGAAACACACCCAATAGATGCTGCCCTCTCGCCCTGCTCCACTCTTCCCTTAGCACTTGTCACTGACATACTGACAGCTCTCGGCAACAATTCCTTAACTCTCCTACCTGGCTCTCTGGACCACAGAATCACATTTTGGAAATAAAGAGTCAACTCTGAACTTGCAATATGTATTAAACATAGTGGTCAAAGTTTTTTCTCATGATTTCTAACCCACCTGTACTCCAGAGACTGCTTGGGCTTTCTCCAAGACATAAAATATAAAGTTCTCAATCATCTACTTATAAACAGTGAAACTCATTTCCCCTCAAGCTCCTTCACCTCACAGGGGTAACCACTGAACTTTGTGAAGATCATATTCACCATTTAGGGGGCTATTTTTTCACAATGTCAATAAATAAATGTATTATTTCTGAATTGGGTTATGAGGTTCCAAACACAGTAACTATGTTACAATATTAAACGGCTTTAAACATTCAAATAACAATTGTTTGAGTAACTATTTAAATACCCTAAGACAGTTTTTTAAGTGTTGTTTTAGCAACATCATTAAAATGATACAATTTTCCACAGAACACTTACTAAGTTTCATGGGAAGTGCTCCTTTGCCATCGGCCTTTAAGCAGAATCTGACATTAAAACTGTAGGGAATAAAAAAATACACAAATCCTGTAATTCAGTTTAGACATTTTTTTTTTAGTACCATTCAAGTCTCTTCAAGTCTCACATTCCTCATATAGCTTACACTGTGAAGCTTTGTATCTTCCTCCATGTCTTAATATTACATTTAAAACATGAAACTATATAAAACAATCGAATTCATCCTTCACTAGTTCAAGTGCTCTTGCTTTCATAGGCCCTGATGAGGGGAAAAAGAAAAGAATTTCCTAACTTCCTCAAGTTTACAGAATTTGCAGATAAATCTAAATGAGGGAAATGATGGTCCCGACTTCAAAGAATGTCTCATTTAATAAAAATTAAAAAAAAACCACCAAAGCGTCCTTTAACTAGCAAACATCCCTAGGATGGTGTTTTTCACAATTTACTAGCAAGTCCTGAAATCAGTTTAATGGGTTGTGTCCAGCATATTTTAAAAAGTCATTAAATAAATAAAACTGACTTAGGTATCAAAGGTTAAGATTTCCTGAAACTGTTCTTTCAATTACACACATGTGTTTGCTGGATTCTGATGCAAAATGCATTTTGTACTATGTACCACTACCACCATCGAAAACATATGAAGGCTACTGCTGTAGTGTATTCTAAGGCCCAAGTGCACACTAACAAGCACACGCTGAGCACCTTCAAGTGGACAAGCAGCATGAGTGGAGGGAAGAAGCTGAAAGGCAGCGACACTTACAGCCAAAAACCTTCAAAGCAACTTCACCACCAAGCAATAAAAATGAAAGCCAAATAGTACAAAAATGTCAATGCAATCAAATGAAAGACATAACATTTTGAAAAATGATTTAAATAATAATTCAAAGACAAAATCCAGAAAAATGTTTTTTCATTAGCTCTTTTGAAATAAAAACTTCTCAGCCTCCAATCATTCTGTAAGTTCTCTGATTTTCTTGTGTGCCAGGAACTTGAATAGTGTCTCCCAAAGAGGGGTACTCATAGTGATTTTAATAGCATATGGGTCCAGATTTTTCATTATTAATGTTATATTTATTTTGAAATGTGTGAGACACTGGTTGCTCCATTTTAAAATATTTTAAGCCAAAAGCGAAAATATAGCAAAATCATGCAACATAGGAAAGAATAGCATAAAAATAATGAAGACTTGAGAAACACCAAACTATAGAGAAATTCAGACATTAAATTTACAAAAAAATATTTTTTTTCTTTAGAAACTAGTGAAGGAACAAGTAAAAGACTAGTAGCTAGAGCAAAATAATATATTTCATTCAGCTACTCACAAATTATTAAATCTAAAAAATATGTCTTTTAAATATTAAAATGTTCATAGGTCTTTTTAGAATTAAGTATAAATTAATTCTGATTACCAGCTTTTCCTTCTTTCAGAATATATGCATTGATCATGCATTTTTTAAAACTTTAACTTTTTACCATACATCTAAAGCTTTCTATATCTCTTCCTCGAAACAATATTTCTATAAGCCAATCTATGACATGAAAACAGAGTACACCCATGGAAACTGCTTTAGCAGTATTTCACTCCTCTGCCGTCATTTTCAATTGTTTTTACAATAATTGAACCACTAATCACAGTAATAACTATTATTAAACGAATACTCTTACCAGGAAACTTTAAGATCGGTCCCAGGCAGTGGGCAGGTTTTATTGTCTTGGTTTAAAATGCTAGGATACACTTCAAGGCCAGCATTTACAGTGATGACCGGTCTGGCTCTGAGGCGGGGAGGGGGTCAGAAATAAGGGGGAAAAATTAAAAAGTTGTTTAAAATGTTAGATTGATCTAAGCATTTTAGGTTCCCATTCACTGTATACACAATGCAGTGTTTACTGAAGCAGTGTTTACAACAGCAAAAAGAAAAGAAACAACTTAAATTCAGAATGACCAACTATCCCGATTGGCCTTCGCACGGAAAGTGCCACGACCCAGTAAATTCCTCAGTCCCAGGCAAAGCGGGACAAGTCGCCAAACTATCTGAACTCTGTCCATCAAAGCAGAATTGTTAAACAAGCCATGGGATATGTACGCAATGCCATGCAATACAGCAGGGAAAGGACTGCCACAACTCCCTCTGCGCCGCTACGAAGGATCTCTGAGGTACGGGCAAGACACAATTCTAATATGATGGGGGGAAATCCACAATGTACAAAGGATACATGCATACACACCACATATGATTATTTTATTGCATAGTATATTTCTGATAGTATATACCAATAAACTAGTAACCAGTGTGAGAAAAGACTTTTTATTGTATGCCCTTTTTATATAATTTGAATATTTACCACATGCATTTACTACTTCATTAACAGCCATTTTACTGAAACAATAAGTAGTTTTCCAAAGTTCAGATGCACAGATTTAAACTCTGTATAAAAATACAGTAGGCGCAGGATAGTGTGCCTGTCTTGATCATGAAAAATCCTGGCATCTGCATGAAACATACCGCCTTGATGCATCACCAACTCCATTACACAGTTTCAATGTTAGTTTTCCTGCCATGTATAAACATGGCCCAGAGAAGAGTAAACATCTTAATCTAGTTAGGATGCCAGATGATATTCCAAGGCATGAGTAACTGATCAACTACAGAGAATAACTGGGAATATGTATAAAACTGGGAGATTCAGATATGGGGATTTATACAATGCTCTAAAAAACAGTTCTGGAAGTCCTTCCATACTGCCTTTGTAGTCACAGAATGTTGTGGCACAAACACCAAGCCAATTTCTTGCCTCTCTGAGAAAAAATGTAAACTCCTATAATTTTTAAGAGAGATTTAAATGTAAGAGAATATTTCTAGACATAATTTCAAGAATAAAGAGTAAAATTCTAAATGCTTTTTGTAATTAAAAATATCTAATAAAAATGAGGGTGAAGATGGAAATGATGATGAAGGTATAAATGAGAAGAAAGAAGATAGAAAAGAGGACGAAAGAAAAGAAGAGGAAAATGGAAAAGGAGATGGGAAAGACGAAAGAGATGAGAAGGAAAATGAAAATAAGGCTGAAATTGCAAAAGAAGTGGTTGAAAAAGAAGAGGTAAAAAAAGAAGAGTCTCAGAGTATTGTTTAAAACTGCCCTATGTAGTTTCATAATTTGGTAATATGTACCTCCATGTTGTAATGTTAATAGAGATAAATATTTTTATCAAATACTTTATAAACACGGTTTTTCTTTAGCATTACCTGAATTTCAGAATATCTTCATACTGATCATTAGCCACAAATTTCCTAACATGAAATCTTCATAAATTTTGTGATTATAATAGTAGAATGTATAGGAAAAAAAACATGCTTTCAACTTTGTCAATTTTCCTTTGTGTAAGTTATGTGTTAAATCTTTGCATTTTACTTTTACTTCTGTGTGTGATAATTTTATAAAGTGGAGAGTTCTCAAAGGAAAAAATGATGTGTGGTTCTCTAGGTTGCTTTGAACTATTTTTATGTTATGCTAAGGAGTTAGAATTATCTTTTCCAAATGTGACTAGTTTTAGTTTGGGAAAACATAAAATTATAATTTCATTTTTAGAAGAAACACAAATGTTTATTTCAGAAGGGCAGTTCTGACTATATGTCTATCCACAAAATTTTACTGGATTTATCTTAATAAAATTTTTCTTCAAAAAAAAAAAAATCTACAGCTTTCTCTACTTTAGGATCTCCTTGTATACTACTACTTGTTTGCAATAGACCTTAAATAGAATGAACAAACAGCCCTGGCCGGTTTGGCTCAGCGGTTAGAGCATAGGCCTGCGGTCCGAAGAGACCCGGGTTCGGTTCCCGCTAAGGGCACGTACTTTGGTTGTAGTTTGTCCCCGGCCCTGGTTGGTCGTGCGGGTAGCAGCCACTCGATGTGTCCCTTTCACGTCGATGTTTCTCTCTCTCTCTCTCCCTCCCACTCTATCTGTACAAAAATTGGAAAAATGTCCTCAGGTGAGGATAAAAAAAAAGAATGAACAAATTTTACCATTACTTCAAGAAAATTAAGCTAAATTCACACACTGGTATCTAACTATAAAACTTTCAAATAATTCAGAATAGAATAAGATATGGAAACATGCTCACCTGTATAAGACAGCTCTATCTACACCAAAAGCTCCTACAATTAAGTCTTAAAAAAGAGTAGAAAAAAAAAAAGTTAATATAATCATGATTTCTTTTTAAATTCACATACCATTCTATAAAACTTTCAATACATACAATACAGATTTAGATATAATCTCAAAACTATCTTCATTAGGTGATTAAAGATAACCTTCGAAAGGGTAAAATGTGAAAATTCGAAATAAGCAGTCATCAATGGCAAAAACTGATCATAAAATTAGTATTTCATTCAGATAGATAAAATCTTTTTCATGGATACTTAGTAAAAATCAGCCACAATGGGGACGTGTAACCCCAAACACACATACCCCAAAGGAAAAATCTGTAGATGCCTGTGGATTTCACAGCTTCACTGTAAAATTTCTTATTTAAAAATTATATTTATTTTATTTAAAAAAATAAAACAAAACCAAAAAGCATACGACATATATTTAGAATACTTAGACTGACAGCAGGTAGTACTCAAATCCACAAACATAAAGCATTAGTTTGTATATTAACGGGTAAAAATGGTATCAGAGATCTGTCTCACAGCTTAACCAAGCTAAATTTGAGGGAGCCCTTTCTAGGCAGAAAAGTACATGGGGTAAAAAATACATACTGGCAGATTGTACTGCATAAAAATTAAGAACTTCCCAAAAAGGCAAATGTGACAAACTAAGAAACATACAGGGGCAGGAAAAAGTAGGTTTACAGTTACGAGTCTATGAAGCACAGTTTATTCTTGTACTATTATATATTAATTATTGTTATTATTTTCCATATGAACAACTGTAAACCTACTTTTGCCCCGTCCCTATATATGAATTGAGTTAAAATTCTCAATATTTAAGGCACTGCCACAAGTTAAAAGAAATGAATAAGTTAAGAAAAACATCCCAATAGAAACTGAGAAAAAAATATGTAAAAAAGAAATTCACAAAAGTAAATATATGCAAATAAACAAAAATGCTTACCCTCATAAATAACAAAAAACTAGAAATGAAGACAAAATAACATTTTCCACCTGTCATATAGCTTACAGTTACTTTAAAAGGAACAATAGCAAAATAAAAGGGGAGAAAATGGGAACAAAAGATGACACCCAACATGGGCACAAATGTGCAAAATTGACCATCACTCACTGCTGGTAAGTGCTTTTGGAGGGAGTGGGATTGTATTCTGACAATATGTATCAATACATTTTTTTAAATGCTGCTTATCTTAGACACAGCAATTCTAAAACTTTGTCCTATGGAAATAATAAAAAAATAAAAAATGGTAAAATGTATGTACCAGAATTATATACAAGAAGACAAATGCGCCCTGGCCGGTTTGGCTCAGCGGTTAGAGCATCGGCCTGTGGTCCGGAGAGACCCGGGTTCGGTTCCCGCTAAGGGCACCTACCTCGGTTGCAGTTTGTCCTCGGCCCTGGTTGGTCGTGCGGGTGGCAGCCACTCGATGTGTCCCTTTCACATCGATGTTTCCCTCTCTCTCTTTTCCTCTCTCTCCCTCCCACTCTGTCTGTACAAAAAATGGAAAGATGTCCTCGGATGAGGATTAAAAAAAAAGAAGACAAATGCCTCAAAATAAGGTTAAATAAGCTATGATACAGCCATTTAATTTGATAAAATGAAAAACATAAAATTCATGTTTTTGAAGAACAATAACATGGAGAGACATTTCGGGTACATTAAGTGACTAACATATGCTATTAATAGTGAATAAAGCATAGTTCTAGTTTGTTTAAAATGTGCATGAATGCAATGAAAAACTGCAACATATGTTTTGCTGTATTTTCTAAAAGTTCTGTAATTACATTGCATTTATAACAAAAAAATTCTTGAATTAACGCTGACATAGATAAGAATGAATTTCATATCCTTTGTCTAAAAGTACTTCAACACACTTGCATACTGAGCTCATGTTAACTGCTTCAACAACAAAGGTAGTCTAAATTTTCTGCACTTTATTTCATTTCAAGAATAGATCCATTATAACTCTAGATCCATTACAATACTCCAAAGTATGTATGAGCCAAAATAAAATCTCCCGTTCTGTACTGGCTGAAACCAGTGGACAATGTTGGGCAAATTATCTTCCTCAGTCTTTTCTCATCCAGAAAATGGTATAATAATGAGCTGAGCTGGCTTATATTCTTCACAAGCCTTACTGAGATAATTAAATGAAAAAATACATTTTTTAAAACCCACAATGATTAGTCAAGTCTGCAGAAATGTGAGATCACTGAACACCAAAAAAGGTGGCTGACATTCAAAAACTTAGGATGAGCATTTAGCTTTTGTTTATCACGTCTACGACATTTTCCTCTGACATTTCATTACAGACGTCAAAACAATAAAAGACACTCTGATTATGAGCTGGTTATTGGACACTCCCAGGAAACAGAGCTGCCTTTACTTCCTATCCCTTTCAGTAATGAGAACAGTACCTTAAACAACAGTAGGGGCTTAAACAGTACCTGAAATATTGAGGTGAAATGATTTACAACATGTATCAAAAGCACAGTAACTATTTACTACTCAGATTGAAAGATCTGCGCAGCTCTATGTACGTCTATGCAGCACCTGGATATCCGTTTCTGTCGATGTCGGTGGCCCCTTTCATGGAGTAGCCGAAGCTTGGGGGCATGCTCTGGGCCGCCCACTTCCCTTCGAGGATCTGCGATGGCGCCGAGTTCAAGCCCGTGGACCGGCCGTTGAAAATATAAACAATTCCTTTTTTATCTTCACCCCCATAGGGAGCAGCAATTGCGATGTCTGCAGGGAAGGGGACGCGGGGATGGGGCAGGAGATGGAGAGAAGAAAGGGAGAGAAGGGGAAGGAGGAGAAAGGAAGAAGGAAAGAAGAGGGGAAAGACAGAGACAGAAGGAAGTCTTAGCACTTAGCATTATTTATGAAAAGATCTTAGTAACTATAGGATCCATTTATCAAGATAAATCTTCATTCAAAGTTCGCTAATGCACTACTCTTTATTCATAACCAACGATCGAAATTCGGGGAAATTCAAGCAGAACTGTACGGAGATGACATTAATTTGGAGTCAGACCTTGGGCGAGCCAGTTAACCTTTCCAGATCTCAAATACCTGGTCCTTTAATGGAGGGGAGGGGGACATGTCAAAACATTCCTCTAAGGTTCATTCTGGCTCTCAGCATTCTAGTTAATTTATCTGGGCATGGTTTGGGTTTTTTTTGCTTTTCTTTCCAAAGCAGAAGTCAATCTGGCTCAGAAACTTGGGGGTTAGAAATTCATCTCAATCCTGCTCAACCTATTGAAATTAACATAAACAAATAGAAAGTTTGCTGTTCTTTTAAATAAAAACAGAAACCAAAAGCACCAAATGACCACTCTAACATTTCCTAACTCTGAAATATTTTACTTTGTTTTTTTGTTTTTTTTTATCCTCACCCGAGGATATTTTTCCATTTTTTGTACAGATAGAGTGGGAGGGAGAGAGAGGAAGGGAGAGAGAGAGAGAAACATCGACGTGAAGGGACACATCGAGTGGCTGCCACCCGTACAACCAACCAGGGCCGGGGACAAACTGCAACCGAGGTACGTGCCCTTAGCGGGAACCGAACCCGGGTCTCTCCGGACCGCAGGCCGACGCTCTAACCGCTGAGCCAAACTGGCTAAGGCTGAAATATTTTACAAGTATGTCCACTTCCCTCTGTGCCTGCTGGGTCCCTAAAGCAGACTACACGTCTGTGCTTGGCCTTGTAATCCATTCTCCCCAAACCTGTCCAAAGTCAGTATCTTGTCACCTTCCTTCTTAAAATCCTTCAGTTATTTCCAAAGCTTTAACTGCTTCCTGGTTTGTCCATTCATTCCTGCCTCCCCCCAACCCCCACGCAATTCTAACCCTCACTCACTCTTCCTACCAATCCTGGCCTTTTTCTTTCTTAAACTCGCCAAGCTAGTTCCCATTTCTGGGTTTATACTTGCTGTACCCTTCTGCCTTAACAGATCTCGCTCCAGAGCGTTCCAAGCTTTGCTCCTTCTATCTGTCCAAATCACAGATAAAATGCCATGTTGCTGGAGGGTCCTCCCTGGCCACACTACAAAGCAATGCCTTCTCGCCTCCCCACCCCTCTCTAACGGGGCACTTGCTATCATATCACTCTGCCTATTTTTTGTTGTTGTTTTAAACCCACAGCCTTATCATTATCTGAATTTCCCCAAACGTGTTTACTCTATGGCTCTTCCACAAAACTGAAGCTTCATGAAAGAGGTGTGTCCATCTTGTCTATGACAGACCAGCCTTTCCAAACTGCCTCAATGTACTTAATGTACCCAAACGTGTTCAGCCTCCTCAATACATCATCCCCAAAGACAACAAAGACAGCCTGGTCATTCGTCTTTTATGTAAAACCATTATGCCCAGGAATACCCCAAACACCGTGGTGATTTTTCTCTAGTATCTACTTGTTTACACAAAAGTTGCCCATGTTGATGCTTAAATTCCTTAAGGGCATGGATGGGCTCCAACTTATCCTCTCATTTTTGGCACCTAGAACAGTACTTGGCCAGCAGTAAGCACCAACTAAGAATTTGTTATCCTTAAAAAAAAAAGGTAGTATTTGTCCTTGTTCAAGTTTCCAAAGAGAAGCATAACTTCCAAATTGACAAAAGCATTAATTAAAATATAATTTCCCTGCCCTGAGCAGTTTGGTTTAGCAGTTAGAGCATCGGCCTGCAGTCCCAAGAGACCCGAGTTTGGTTCCCGAGAAGGGCACATACTTAGCTAAGCTGCAGTTTGTCCCCGGCCCTGGTTGGGTCGTGCGGGTGGCAGCCACTCGATGTGTCCCTTTCACATTGATGTTTTTCTCTCTCTCTTCCTCTCTCTCCCTCCCATTCTATCTGAACAAAAAATGGAAAAATGTCCTCGGGTGAGGATAAAAAATACATATATATAATTTCCCAACAGAAGATAGCTCTAGTATTAAAAGATTATTATAATAAAAGTAATCTTTAACTTTTCTCAGCCTCTCATTATTTTATACATTCTAATCATTTTCTCTCTTGGCTGGCATCTGTCTAGGCTGAAGAGTCCTACTCTTTCAAAAATGCAATTTCTTCCTTTGATCCTTTTAGTAGCTCCTTTCTCTCTGTGTGTGTGTGTGTGTGTGTGTGTGTGTGTGTGTGTGTGTGTTTCTCCCTCTGCCTTTCTGGAGGGGTATGGAGAAAAACTGCACATAATTGTTGAACCTAACTTTCTTGTTTTGTTTTCAGTATCTCTCTCGATGATGCCTGGGTATTCCTGGTGGGTGTAGGTGGAAAGGGAGGAATACAGGAGCATAACCAAGGGTTAATATCATCAGGTTTGAACAAAGGAAAGCTCTAGGTTATAACTAATAGTTCATTTTATGTATATAAACTATAGCTACATATAAAATATAATATATACAGTGACATAAAGACAGCTCAGATCATTTTCCATTAAAGACATTGTCATTCACAATCTACTATTTGGGACAATAAAGCCCCAGGAGAAACCTTGGGAGAACAATGCCCTATGGTATATATCTTTAAAAGTAAAATCTCTCTGTAAAATAGTTGTAAAACTTCAATTTTTTAGCCTTTTTTTGTTTATAATTGTTGTGTTCACAGATTACACATTTTAATAAAAATATAGAAAGCAGGATAAGATTTTGGCCAGATTATCAATGGAAGCACTCTTTAAAGTGGCTGAAATAGACTCCAGACACGGTCACGGCACACATGCCGAGGCTCTCCCCAGACGCCTGGAGACAGAGGCCCGGCCACAGCCAAGAACTCATCAGATTTATTCAAGGTAGAACCTCAAATCCAGCCCTGTGTTTTCTAAGTACTTTTTGTTATCCAAAAGTAGTGGTTTGGTCTGTTCTATAGTATTCTTTCCAAGTTCTATTTTGAACTTTATACAAGAATTCCATTTGATTTATGTTACGTTCTCTTGACAGTAAAAAAATCTTTAAGGCTCAATTTTAGAAGGCAAAAATGTCCCTTTGAGTAGTTTCTCACTTACACTGAAAATGTCTAGGGTGAGTCTTAGTGGTGACACTTTCAGTGCATAATACAAACTGCCAACAAGGCAGGAGTGCAGTCCTGAGGCCCAGCCCACGATTTCCTTTTCCAGTACTACTTGAAAAATATGTCATCTGTATTTTTTGAAGTTTTCTTCTTAATTTATAACTTTTTTTAAGGGGCATTTCCCTATTTATTGTTGATGATACAAGCTAACAGTTCAACAGTCTATTCTGTGATTTTTAGAAATTTATTTATTTATTTTTCTTTATTGATTTGGGAGAGAAAGGAAGGGAGAGAAACACAGAAACATCGATGAGAGAGAACATCGACTGGCCACCTCCTACATGCCCCCCACTAGGGATTTAGCCCACAACCTGGACATGTGCCCTGACCAGAAATCAAACCAGCGACCTCTTGGTACATGGGTCGACGCTCAATCACTGAGCCACACTATCTGGGCTAGAAAGGTTTATAATAGTATTATTTTTTTAAAAAAGAATCTTGGTAAATGTGTAATCTATATTTCATTCTATAATAAAAGCCAACCTAGATTTTTAAAAATATCTCCAGCTATTAATTAAATTATTAAATGGGGCTATTAAAAAACACTGAGCTTATTCCTTTTACTTGCCCTCAGATATAACCCCCCTCAGAATATTTTGGACAGTCACAACAAAATTATGGCTTTAAAAATATTAACGGTGAATCATAGCTTTAAAATATACATTACAGTCAGCAATGCCCTGACAGTGTGCTTGGGAGCATATTTTGCACTTGTACCCAAAATGGACACTAGAGGGCACTGCCGCTAAGCAGGAGACAATCGCCAGCTCACAAGGGGCTCCATACTAATGCAAGTTCCTTTCAGACATGAACTATTCCAACCATCTATTTTGAGTCTACATAAATAACAACTCATGAGAATCAATTTCTGAACTTTTTGCTCTGATTTTTAAGGGAAAAGAGCAATCTGACGTTTAACCTAGTGTTTTAATTGCTGTCACTCGAATCCTTTCCAGGAAGGAAGTTTGCTCATGGGGGTACAAGTCTATGGACACAGAAATCAGGGACCCACAGTTGCGGGACTCTGACCTTACCATTGAAGCCGTCCTGGTCTAGATCTCCCAAAGGCGCTATGGCACTGCCAAACCTCGCAAAGACCTCAAACCCGTTCAGTTTGGTTGTCTGGAAGTCTCCCGAAGCTCTCTGCAGAGACACTGAGACCTGCCCCACCTCTTGGAGTTTGCCATCAGAACCACGATCCATGAAGAGCGGTGCACCGATAAACACATCTGCATAACTAAGAACAGAATATTTTTCAGAAAAGCAAGATCAAATTCCATCTATTAATTATCACTTCCTTATTAAAACACCGTTCCCTTTCCACATCTCTCATAGCTACACTGAAGCAGAAAATGATCATTCCAAATGTGAACACTCTTTCAACTCTTACAAAACTATGAGTAGTTCACAAAGTTACTTTATTCCTTCGTATTATCAAAGCTATTAAAATAAATTATGGAAAACATAGAGGTTTCCTAGTATTTGTGATAAAGTTCTTCAAAATGGTCCCCTAAACAGAAAAATGAGCAGGAGAGGGACAGAAAAACAGAGGAAGAAATGTTTAGTTTCAGTAGAGCGTTCATAAACACGAGAGGAAAACTGTTTCTGGAAACATTATTTTTAACTTACTCATCCCCATTAATGTCAGTGGCAGCGACAGAAAATCCAAAATATGCAGCCATCTGGATAACAAGATGAAAATGACATGTTTACATTCCATCCAACTAGTTTAACAATTGATATTTGTAGTCTATTTATCAAATAGAAAGGATTCTATTTTTTTCTCAGTCTAAATCTCTTCTCTTTGGTTTATTCTACCAACACAATGAAAATCAGGTAACGAGGCTTGTTTTTCTAGATTTATGAGCAAAACTATCCCATGTATATCATTTCAGTTACTTAAATACATACCATTTAAGTACAAGTACAATCAATGCTCCTGCCCAGGCCTAACCTGTCTCCTTTCCTCTCCACTATCCAAAACACACCAGACAGACACAGTATCAGAAAGACATTGTCACAGACAGATGTTTTACTTGAATCCAAAGAGGTTATATAAATGGATGTCTATGGAGTAAAGATAATAGATAATAATTATTAATAGGTTTTAATTGGCTCTCTCCATGTCAAACTATTACAACCCTCAAAAAATTACTATTTGGAAAGATATGAAATGGAGTTCAGTTTTGTCTCACATCTCAATTGATTACATGCCAGTGGTTTTGCTGATTTACACACAGTACACATGTGTTTGGGTTTATCACAGTGCAGAGGGAGAAGGAATGTCCCCTCCCCACCACTGGAGACTGCTGGCCAGCACAGACAGAGTAGCCTGGCAGAAACACATGTGAGAAAGGAAAGTTCTAAAGAGAAGCCAACATACAAAGCAAAACTAGGAGAGATGACAACCTAGAGATGAACAAAGGTGAATAATGAGTCAACAAACCAAAAACTGTCAAGTTAGCAAAACTTCCAGAATTTGAAGAGCAGAGATGCCAGGAGGGAATGATAAGAGAGATTCCTATGTTATCTATTTTAGGTTGATCCAGTGTAACTGAGAAAATGAAAGACATGTTCTATATTCAGTTACATGATCAGAGCATGTGTAATAAACTGTATTGCGTTTGGGGTACCACGTTGATGTGATGACAGGGTTTTAACAGAATACTATGCTTGGGCCTATTCCGTCAGGGTGTTTGGCCTGAAAGTATAAAGGAAGGATGGCATTTACTGAAACAAGTTTTGTCCTGGGCACAATGATTGAGATGTTTTCTTTTTAAATCCTCATCCAAGGATATTTTTCCAGTGATTTTCAGATAGAGTGGGAGGGAGGGAAGGACAGAGGGAGGAAGAGAGAGAGAAAGAAACATGGATGTGAAAGAGACACATCAATTGGTTGCTGCCCACACAACCCTAACCAGGACCAGGGCTCAAATCGAAACCGAGGTACATGCCACTGACTTGAATTGACCCCGAGACACTTTGGTCCGCGGGCCAACGCTCTATCCCCTGAGCCAAACCGGCCAGGGCTGAAATGTTTTCATCTGGTTGTCACCACAACCCCATTAGGAAGTTACCAGTATCCCTATTTTTATGCATCATTCAATGCAATAATGCTAAATATGGAGAGCCCAGGTCTGTCCTAATAGTGCTAATGCAAAGCCCAAGTTTTTCCCCAGCCACAAAAGAGCTGAGGAGAAGCTGCTTGAAGTGAAAAAGTCACCGCAGCACAAATGGATGCCCACCCTGCAGCAACTCTAAGGGCCTGTGCACTGCAGTCCACTGCCTGCTGTGCAGCAACCCTGATGCGGCACACATGGGAAGAGGTCTCCGCGACCTTGGGTCTACTTCCTCATCCCATCAATCCTCTCGAAAAGCCCAACCATCTCAACTGAACAAGTGGACTTGAATCCTAGACCTGAAAACTAGGAGATTTCTTTTCTCTACATACTAATTAACTTTTCCTTTATCATTAGTAACTTATTTAATAAAACTGCATCTAATAAAATTAAAAGGCACGAATCATTCCTTGGAAGTTAATGTCATCTGCAAAGAAAAAGGAAGTTTCTGGTTTTTGGTGTAAGCAATTTGATTTTGTATTTTCTTAAAAAATAAACTAGCCATAATATGCAATTACAAAAGTATTTGCTTAAACAAATTACTTTAGTTAAAACAAATATGAAATATTTAAAGCCTATTTATATCTGTAACATTGAATATAAAGCAATATCTATTATATATTGAATACTAAACCATTAGGATATTGCCAAGAAAAATTTTAAGACATTAGGAAATGCTGATATTAAAATGTTAAGTGAAAAAAATTTTAAAAGCATACCTGCTCACCAGTAAAATTGTGTAAGGAGGACATATTTTTCCCATCATAAATATAAACCTGTGCAGGAAAAACAAAAATATATGAAATATAGGAAAATATAAGAGAACCCAGAGATTTTTTCAAAACACCTTTTAACTTTCCTACCATTCCCAAAGTCCTCGCTGCTCTTGGAACTCCTGAAACAAAGTCTGAAAAGAAAAAAATTATTCATTTTTTAAGACCAATATTAGAAATTGCAGGGGAAAGGGGATATGTCAGACAGCTTTAAGTTTTGTTATTTCAATAGACAATAAGAGATTTTTAAAAATTGGTACTCCAGTTGTTTTAATGACAAAATCAAATATGTACAAAATATAGAAAGATCCATGAGGATCCTCAAATAAATGCATGTGTGCCCTCAAGGCATTTGTAACCTGGTTAAAAGCACAGATAAGATAAAGTGACCTAAGAATGAAGAAAAGCTATATTTATAGTAATGAAAACCAACAGAGAGCAAATGAAATAGGGTAGAGGTGGCAGCTGCACAGAAATTTGATCAAAATCAGGTAAAGTCTGCCTGGGCCGGTTTTGCTCACTGGTTAGAGCATCGGCCCACAGACCAGAGAAAATCAGGAAAAGTCTAGGATTTCCAGTTGAGCTCGGAAGGATGATGGGTGGACAGAGAGAGGATAGAGTAACAACCTTGCTCACAGAGCCCAGAGAGAGGTTATAAATTATGCCTAAAGAAAAAGAAACAAAGCCTCCTCTCCATGAATCTGCAGAAAGCAATGAAGAAGGGGCTAAAGAAATATCTGATCCCTGGCCAGTGTGACTAACTGGATTGGGCGGCATCCCATGCACCGAAAGGCTGCCAGTTCGATTCCTGGTCAGGGCACATGCCTGGGTTTCAGGCTCGATCCCCAGTGGGCGGCATGCAGGAGGCAGCACATTGATTTTTCACTTACATTGATGTTTCTCTCTCTCTCTCTCCCTCTCCCTCCCTTCCTGTCTCTCTAAAAAAATCTTAAAAAAAAAAAAAAGAACTGCAAGTGCTAGAAAAGGAGCAGATGAGGAAGAGACCGAGGTCCCCAACACAGGCTCAATTTCAGCCACAGCTTAAAGAAGTTTAACAAAGGCCCAGCTCATGTCCATGTACTAATGTCTTCCTCGATTCTCCCGTTACATTCCATAACGATGATTTCAAAACTCTTTAACTGCTGAAATTTTTCAATGCTTACATTTTTAAAAAGAATTAGATATAGTTCAAGTACATCATACCGTCTATGCCATCATCATTGAAATCACCAACAGCCACAGAGTAACCTAAACAAGAAACCAAAAGGTGAAATAACATCAGGGCTAGTTATCTTCAGTATACTCGCTGCCTCAACTTTCTTTGAAGCTGTCTTCAAGTAATTCCTCTAATTATGTAATATTTTGTCCTCTAGAGGTAATAGATTCACGTGTGTATGATAAATGTACATATACCTTAAAGAAAATAATTGAGCTAAATATTCAAAGAGTATAATTCTATTAGAAAAATAAGACTGTTTTATCTACATTACAAAGGAGTTATTTAAAAACAGGGTAAATTTGTCCGGCCAGTGTGGCTCAGTGGTTGAGCATCAACCCATGCACCAAGAGGTCGCCGGTCAGGACACATGCCCAGGTTGTGGGCCCGATCCCCAGTGTGGGGCATGCAGGAGGCAGCCAATCGATGTTCTCTTTCATTGATGTTTCTATCTTTCTCTCACTTCCTCTCTCTCTAAAATCAATAAAGGAAAAAAAAAATTAAAACGGTAAATTTGCAATTCATCATAAAGTAGCAACAAATAACAGATTTTCTCAATCAGCAAAGTATTATTTCTGTCATGTGTACTTGGCTTAATTGATAAGAGATTTAAAAAGAGAACAAAAGTTAATAATTCCTAAAGATCAAAACTACAGTTTAATATAGTGAGTAATAAAAGTTCAAGAGTCAGGCTGCCTGGGTTCGAACATCAGAACAGCAGTGGTAAGAGTGTCTTCTGGAGCCCTGGCCAGTTTGGCTCAGCGGATAGAGCATCAGTCCACGGACCAGAGAGTCCCAGGTTCGGTTCCTACTAAGGGGAAGTACCTCAGTTGCAGTTTGTCCCTGGCCCCAGTTGGGGTTGTGCGGGTAGCAACCAGTCGATGCTTCTCTCTCTCACCCTCCCTCCCGGCTCTATCTGAAGAAAAATGCAAAAATGTCCTTGGGTGAGGATAAAAAAAAAAGAGAGAGTGACTTCCAGCAAGTTATTTTGCCTCTCTGTGCCCGAGTTTCTTTATATGAAATGGGAACAAAAACAATACACTTTCATAGACTTCTTGTGAGGATTAAATGAATTAATACTAAAAAGCACTCAGTACAATACCCAGAATATTATAAGCATATCTTAAAGGTTATCAATTATTATTATCATAGTATAAATAATCATGCTCTTAAATTTCAGTTACTGAAATACAACATAACCTAAGTACTCAATAATAATTTGAAATTATATGTTCCATATATGTGTGTGTGTGTGTGTGTATTTTTTTAATCCTCACCTGAAAACATTTTTCCATTTTTTTGTTCAGACAGAGTGGAAGGGAGAGAGAGGAAGAGAAAGAGAGAGAGAGAGAGAACCGAGGTACGTGCCCTTAGCTGTAACCGAACCCGGGTCTCTCTAGACTGCAGGCCGATGCTCTAACCTCTGAGCCAAACCAGCCAGGGCTCCTTATATATATATATTTTTTTTTAAAAGACCTCAACCCGGCCAGTACAGCTCAGTGATTGAACATCACCCCATGCACTAAGAGGATGCAGGTTCAATTTCAGGTCAGGGCACATGCCAGGGTTGTGGGCTCGATCCCCATTGGCGGGGGACGTACTGGAGGCAGCGGATCAATTTTTCTCTCTCATTGATGTTTCTATCTTTCTCTTCCTCTCCTTTCCTCTCTAACAATCAATAAAAACATATTTTAAAAATAATAAAATAAAAAGACCTTAATCTATTTCACATAAAATATTTTCCTACTTAAAGCAGCATGTGCAAATACAGAACAAATCCACCCTCATTCCAGAAAATGAACCCATATTTTGGTTTTACCTACCCAAATAACTGTCATCAAAAACAGCTTGTGCAGTCCGAGTTGCTAACTGGTTATTATACTTGATGCTGTAAACTTTAGGGTCATATTTAGATACAATTTCTGCCACTTGGTCCGATATGAGCTGACCTGAAAAATAAATATAAAAAAATAACTTTCTAATAGGAACTTTATGATGCAGATGATGGATGGCACCTATACGAAAGAAAACAGCATTAGATATTAGTATTTCAAATTATTAGCCTTAACTCCTTCATAATAATAAATATGAAATTTGATATTATTTTTAAGTCACAATTATGTCTATTCAACTTAGACATAAAATTTGTCTCTGCTAATAAACGAAAATTTCTAAATACAGAATTTATCTTAATTCACTAAAAAAAAAACAATGTTAAGTAAATGGAATTATAAAATCAAGGGCTGTTTCCCAACCAAATCCATGAGAACTTAAAAAATCAACTAAAATAATTAAATACTTTTACCTTTTAATAAGAGTAAGTGAATTCATCTTTTAAATGCATTTTATGAAGTAGACTAATGGGTGAGTTCACTTTTCTTTACAATCTTAACTTACTAGGTAGACAAGAAATCTACCCAACTATACAAAAATAAGACTGAACCCTGCCAAGAAAGGTTGGCTGATTTATCAAATGCCATCTCTATAGCATGAGAAAAATATCTTCATTTCTTCTGTTTTGGGATGAAATTCATAATAGCTAAAGACTTCAGTCCTGTTCCAATATGTCCAGTCACAGAAGTTGAATCTATAGGCAAAAACATCTTGTCTGGGTCTCTACTTTATCCTCTGTGCCTAAACAGTACCTAACACATACAGGGGAACTCATTAAATATTTCTTGAAGCAAAGAACACAGAAAAATTCATCAGCTCTTTGGGATAAAACATCATTATCATTTTCTCAGGTCTACAGGACAATTCTGAGATTTATGGAAAAAATTCATTCTAACATATTTATTCAATGTGAAAGCTGGTGATCTTAATCTTATTAAAACAGAGTATTCTCTCTGAGTCTTCTATAGCTACATATATATACCATTTATAGTGAAACTTCAATGAACATAATAGTAATAGTATATCTGTCATAATTTATGATAGATAGGAATGTACAGATGTTAGGCAATATTCAAGTAATTTAATCATGTTCACAGCTCTATCTATTGAAAAGGCAGAGTTAACAAGCAGTCCTGTGAATCACAAAATCTATGTTTGTTTCCCATGCACGCTGATGAGACATTCCCTCCCCTCCAATGAATGACACACCTGGCAGAAAAGAAGACAAATAAATCTATGTTTTATATCCATTAATATAATTATATACTTATTTTCTCATATGCAATTAGAACTATTTTTGTTTTCATTGTAAAACTGTAAAACTCAAGTATAATTTCCCTAAACCATTTCATTTTCCAGGAGCTGTAGAATTCACAGAAATTCAAACTTTGTAGTTTCAGTTAGTATGTCTCTCACACTGATCCCAGTTTTTGCTGGATTTTTTTTTTTATTCTCTCCTTTGCCATTCCTTTCAACTTTTCAGCTATTCCCCTTTCTCGTTCCTTATTTCCCTTTCTTCATCCTATTTTCCTTCAGCAAATTTCTTTCTTTAGCTTCCCTCTCTGTAAAGCCAAAGCATGGGTTTTCCTACAAAGCAAGGAAAGCGTAGTATAGAATACGGAAGTAAAATTTAGTATAAGAAAGGACTTGCAAATCAATATTGTCATGGGTTTTCCAGTTCTTCCAAATACTGACAATGCTACAATACCAGAATGCCAAGAAACAAGAGTTCTAATCTTGTAAACAGCACTTTTTAGCAGAAAATAAACGTGAATATAATGACTAAATAAATGTGTACATCTAATGACGAATAAAACATAAACTAAGCAAATAAGCAGATTTAGTTACTTGTTTTCAAACTAGTAAATAATGACTTGTTAAACATTTGTTTAAATGGTCATTTTACTAGACCTCCCAGAATGACTGAAGAATGTGGTATTTTATCTTTATATCAATCATCAATGCCAATTTAATTATATTCTTTTGAACCTTAATAAGATCCTCTATTTCAAAAACTCCCCCAACACAAAGAAATCATTCTTAATGTCAGTGATTAACAAGAAAATCACCATTTAAATATTCTAATGAGCATATTCAAAATACTTTTAAAATCATGAGCTCTCAGAATGCCACAATTTACCTCTCACAGATCACTTGCTAATGCTCTAATCACTGCCTAATGCTCACATTGTGGCCTCCAGAGTACAGAAATGGGGAAGTACATACCACAGATACTAAAAACGAATTATTTTAAATCACTGTATAACTTTTTAAAATTTCTTTATTAATTTTAAAGAGAGAGGAAGGGAGAGGGAGAGAGATAGAAACATCTATAAGAGAGAACATCGACTGGCTGCCTCCTGCATGCCCCGCACTGGGGATTTGGCCCACAATCTGGGCATGTGTCCTGACCAGGAATCAAACCGGTGACCTTCTGGTGCATAGGTCAATGCTCAACCACTGAGCCACCATCCAGACAATCACTGTATAATTTAATTGATAATTTACTTTTAGAATATTCAGATTATTTTCTACTAAGAGTATATTATGTTATATATTTTACATATAATACACTATATATAAATATAACCCTTTTTTAAAAAAATACTGTTTAACAAATAATGATTACATATCCAAATTGTATTTTTCTATTTTTTTCTTTAAAATAATTTTAAAAATCTCACAGGCAGATGATAAGACAGGTAAACTTTAACACAGTCATTATTGAGTAATTTAAGAGTATTAACCTACCTTGCCAATAAAAGCTACCAGGACCACCAAGAAGTACTCTGTCAGCCTAGATTAAATCAAATGACAAAGAGATATGTATTTAAAAGCAGGTTGCTTTAAAAACTGAAAGCAATGTAATATAAAAGCTACATATATGTGTATATATATGAATATAACATTAAAGCAAACAAAATCATAAATCTCAAACTCATCTCAGTTTCAGTTATTTTTATTGTACCTTTTCTAAAATACAATTTAATAAATGAAAAGTTATAATATATTTATTTAATATATGAAAATAAACAAACATATAATATATATATATAGATTCTGTGAATCTTGGCTGCTTTGCAAACTTGGTACAGGGTACTTACTGCGAAGTGGGTTGTCATTCCTTAATACTGTATATTACATTTGTGACCACATAGGCAAACTTCCTTTCTAACAATCCTTAAACTATGTTTCAGCTAAAGGAAAAATTTTAGTGTCCTGTAGATCTAAACAGGAGTGAAGTTAGAAAGTAAATTTTTTAGGGTATATTGTATATACAAGTTACACTTCTTGTATCTTATATCTCTAGCAAACTATAAATATCTAATTCAAAGTATTTAGTGTTTACGTATAATATTTCGGAAATTTCTTCTTGCTAGAAGTTAAAGAAATTATTTCCCCCTCAAAATGTTTGTATAGCCCTTTAAGTAATCTCCTGCCCTGGCTATGTAAGAGATACCTCTAAGCTGTCCACTCTAAAATTACATTTTTTTCAGAAATGAGTTGAAAAAAATGAACAGTTAACTTAGAAATGACTATGTACCAGATGAGAGTATTTCTAGTTATAGCTGTACAGGCATAGGTATAGAAAACATTGACACTTTTTAAAAACACAATATTTATTTGGACATATAGCATGCAAATGTAAACCTAATATTTGTTAACATCTCTGTTTTGCTTCCTTTCATTTTGAACTAAGTTTTGAATTATAAATTTCAAATTGAGAAAATTCAATTCAATTAGTAAGGAGAGCTAACTATAACTATCAATACCTTAATCTAGAAAACATTTTTAATAAAAATATAAATTTAAAAAAAAGAAAATGATTTCATTATCATTGCTGTTTAAGGCACTCTTCTACGCATTTTCTAAGAAGGTCACATTAGGCTTTCCAAGGAAACCCTACTTTTAATCAATCAACATATCTGAGACCTCTCTAGAAATAATTAATATTCTCAATTTGATACTCAAAATGTTCACACATCCCACCAAAAAATAATCACACATACAAAATTATATAAAGGAAAGTACTCGAGAAAATTTTTCTTTGAAAATATAAATACAGTCATTATTTTAGAAAAATAGATAAAAAACTATCAACTCTGGAAAGCATATTAGCTTAGCTGAAAATACACAGACAGAATCCTGAATATAAGATGTATTATAATAATCAATTTGTTTCAGCTTTACTTGGTGCCTGTAGGCACACGACAGATGGCAAATATGCATGTTTCTCAGCTTTTATGTAATTAATAAACTCTAATTTTATAATAAAGCTTTTGTGAAAAATCAACTTCAGTCAAAATCAGAAAACTTTAACATTTAAATAGGAGTTGATCTAACTGGAAATGTTACTATTAAGTCATAATAGTTATCTATCATTTACTAAGGAGATTTTCTACTCTTTTCCATTCCCATTTTGATGCCAATTTCAAATAAGCAACATCTAGGGAGAGAATGCAAGAACATCAAAATGCAGGGGTCATTTTTATTAGCTATTTTACTAAAACAAGTAATAGTTATACAGAAGCTGAAGTACTGATCAATTAATTTTTAACTATGATTTAGATAAGAAGGCAGATTGGAATCTCGTTTAGTCTTAAATGAGAACTTACTTTAGTAAAATCAATGCTGAATCCTCCTTGACAAAATCCCTGTCCATCAGCATCAATATTTTCTAAAACAAAAAGATTGGAAATATACACAAACCCAAAAAATGAACAACACAAAACAAGAGAAAAATCTGATATCACTGTAATCATAAAATAGTGTACTAGTTTCTGAAAGTGTTCATTCACTCAGGTACTTAATGAGTTATCACATTCTAAAAAAGTATGCATGTTTATCAGCACTATTTTCTCAGAAATGACACACAGAGAGATTAAAGTACCCTGACCAATCACAGGAAATAGCAACAACATCTAAGATGGTGAATTTCAAACTTCTTTTTTTTTTTAATCCTTACTCGAGGATATTTTTCCATTTTTTGTTCAGATAGAGTGGGAGTGAGAGAGAGAGGGAGAGAAACATCAACGTGAAAGGGACACATCAAGTAGCTGCCACCCGCACGACCAACTAGGGCCGGGGACAAACTGCAACCAAGGTACATGCCCCTAGAGGGAACCGAACCTGGGTCTCTCTGGACCACGGACCGACGCTCTAACCACTGAGCCAGACCGGTCAGGGCAGAATTTCAAACTTCTTATTTTTAATCACAAACCACAGCAAGAGTGTATTTTAAATCACAGCTCACAAAACCCAACATACATATATAGAAATAAAATAATTTCACAAAACAATATCACTATTACTATGCATAATATACTCTAATATTTTATATTTAATATATTTCATTACATTTTTTCTTAATTACTGGTTATGACCCACTAGTTTAATTTTATAAAACAATGATGAGTTGTGATCTGTGAGCTATGAACTCCAATCTGAAATCCCTGTTTCTTACTGTTTTTATCCTGTAGTTAGTAGGTCTTTGCACTAGTAAAGAGATACATACATTCCTAACACGTACATCTCCTACGTACATTTTATGGCCAACAACAACAAAAAATCTATTTAAAAAATGTAGATCCAAATTTTAGGGTGTAGCCGAACTTAACTTAATGGTCTATGAAAAGCTAAATATGAACCTATCCCACAACACACTTAGTACTGGGGTCTAATAAAAGTAAACATTTTCAAATATGACACTTTCAAGTATTTTCCAAAAGAAAAAATATTCATCATTTTACTCTTTGGTGGCTACCCTTTTTTTTAGTTTTCACAGAAAGAAATGATTTCTAGACAGCTAGTAAATCAATTTATATTAAATTTAATCATGAGTACTATGAATAAATGAAACTGAAGAGTCTCCCTTGTTTTATTTTGAGGGTAACAAGGAACAATGAAAAAAACACTACTCTTCAGTCATCAAAGAATTTTTTTTCTTAATTTATTTTTCAATTACAATTGACATACAGTGTTATATTGGTTTCAGGTGTTCACCCCAGTGATTGGACATTTATATAACTTATGAAGTGATCATCCTGATAATATCAAGGTATTCTTTTTTTTTTTTTTATCCTCACCTGAGGTCATTTTTTCATTTCTCTTCAGATAGACCAGGAGGGAGAAAGGGAGGAAGACAGAGAGAGAAAAACATCGATGTGAGAGAGACACATCAAGTGATTGCCACCCACACGACCCCAACCGGGGCCGGGGACAAACTGCAACTGAGGTATGTGCCCTTAGCGGGAACCGAACCCGGGACTCTGGTCCGCAGGCCGATGCTCTAACTGCTGAGCCAAACCAGCCAGGGCTATCAAGGTATTCTTGGAGCCGAAGTTACAATATATAAATAATTATGCTAGAGTACTATTGTTTTTGCCACCCAAATAGAGGAACCAAAAAAAAATCTATTTTAAGTCATAGGACAGTTCACAAGAATTTCTGTCAAATACTCCCATCAAAAATTTTGAACTCATTTTAAAAACTTGGGAACTGCCCCATGATTACACACTTACTATCTAAACTTAGACTTTTTGTTTTGAAAATACCCTCAAGAGTATAATGCTACCCCAATGTAAAATTTTCTAACCAAGAGGGACTGGGAAAATATAGGGCTAGGATTTCCAGCATCTAATGAATTCATACTCAGGAATTCTGCCCTGACCTCAAGCCTGCAGTTTATTTCCTTTATTCAAGTTGTATCTGGGGAACTATTTCAGGCTATTGATAAAAATGTCCTGTTTTTTTTTATTATCATACTGTACAATTATATGCTTTAAATGATTTCCCAGAACAGTCCGCTAGAAAATATCACTGTCCTTTAAAATTTTCTTAACAGGTACATGTTAAACCCAGTATTTCTGCCAATATTAAGAATTTTATGTTGACTATAACGTACTTCAGTGAAAGCTTTTGCTTTTTTTTTTGGACAATTAATATTTCTCCCACTCATTAAGTCTGACAATATATTTTTTTTTATTAAAATTTTTTTATTTATTTTTTGTTACAGATGTTCTCCATTTTTACCCCATTGACACCCCCCTCCCCACCCCACCCCCACCCCATCCCCGGCTTTGTTGTCCATGTTCATTGGTCATGCATACATGCATATAAGTTCTGTGGTTTATCTCTTCCCAGCCCCCACCACCCCCTCTTCTGAGGGATGTCAGTCTGTGCCCTACTTCCATGTTTCTGGGTCTACCGTATTCCTCAGTCTGTTATGTTCATTATATTTCGTATATAAGTGAGATCATATGGTATTTGTCTTTTTCTGCTTGGCTTATTTCACTTAGGATAATACTTTCCAGGTCCCTCCATGTCGTCTCAAAGGATAAGAGATCTTTCTTTCTTACAGCTGCATAGTACTCCATTGTGTATATGTACCACAAGTCTGACAATATTATACATAATAATATTATGGATTATGATAGTAAGAGCAGCTAATGTTTATTAAGCCCTTACTGTGAGCCAGGTACTAGTCTAAAGCATTTCCTTGGCCTTATCTTTTTAAATCTTGACAGCAATTCTATGTGACACACTGTTATTACTCATAACGTACAGATAAGGAAACCAAGACCTAAGGAAGTTAAGTAACTTGACCAGGGTCAAACTAGCTAGTAAATAAGAATGCACAGATCCAAGCCCAGGCATGTCTACACCAGGAGGCTGCAATACCTCTAATCAATAATGTATTTGTAATTCCCTGAGTAACAAGCAAGGGGAAGGAAAAGCCAACTAGAAATTAAAACAAAGAAAAATCTATGTACAAATAACATCATCATCAGTACGAAGACAAAGGAACAAAAGACTCCGTCTGAGCACGGAATTGAAAGCATGTCTAAGTCATATGATTTGTGGCTCTGGCACTTTCAGAACAGAAAGACATGTGGCCTATTGTCTAACGCCAGGAATGGTCATAGATACAGTTATAAAAAGCCAAAAGCAAATGTAACCAGTACTAGGGTAATTTTTTTACAGACAGTAAAGTTCCATGTCCAGGGTGTCCACACAGGTCATGTTCAAAACAAAAGCAAACAAATAAAAATCCCGACAAATTACCACCACCAAAACAAGTGGAGTAATCAAGAAGTTAGCAACATCGCCCTACAAAGTTGGTACCACATGTAACATTAATCACTGAGCTGCATAATTTATTGAAGTATGGAAAAGACACAAAATACTAAATTTGTACCTCTTAAGTCTTAGGGTGTATTCTTTGTTTAAAAAAAAAAACAAAAACAAAACTGCTTAACATCGAGGTGATTGAAGTAGAAAACATTTCCTATTGTTAGTAATACAGGGGAAAACTTCCTTTGAAGTAAGATAGACCTGGTTCAAATCCTCATTCAGCCACTCAAGACCATAAGACGTAGAAAAAAAATTACTTCAGCAGTTGAGCAATGACCCATGCACCAAGAGGTCGCTGGTTCAACTCCCAGTTAGGGCACATGCCCAGGTTGTGGGAAAAATCCCCAGTTGGGGGCATGTAGGAGGCGGCCAATTGATGTTCTCTCTCATCAGTGTTTCTATCTCTCTCTCTCCCTCTCCCTTCCTTTCTCTCTGAATTCAATAAAGAAAAAAAAAAATTTTAATTACTTCAACTGTCTGAATCTCAGTTCCCATATCTATCATAGGAGCATAAGGGTGATTCTGCATGTTTGTCCGTTGTATAAGTGAGAAGTTACAAACCTGGCACACGAGAGTTAGCTCACTCTTCATAGCTATAAAGTTATCTTCTCACAATAGGAACCCTTTTGCAGTACAGAAATTTAAAACACAAATTTAGTCCTCACATTTTCCACACACCACAGAGATGACAGTACTGTGACCAAAATACGAACAAAAGGTGATACTGTTGGCATCAAGCACTGAGGATAAAGCTGCTAACCTCCTCTGTCCTGTGTAGGGTGTGCTTTCTAGCCTGTCCTAATAAACAATGCAGTTCTAGGAGGTATCATTCTTTCAATGTTTACCACTCAGCTACAAGTAGGGTCAAGGAGGTAGGCCAAGAAATGAGTGTTTCATGAAATCACGTGCCATTTCTTAGAGGTTCAGCTGCTTAGAATTTGGAGGACTGAGTAGTTCCTTTGACCTGGTGCCATAAGTTGTTAAACATGGACAAAAATGAATCTAGCAGTATGAGCCTTACATGTTGTACTTATCTGGTGACCAGCGGAACATAAAAAGTAATGGCTTCGAAAGTGCTCTAGGTAGAAACACCGTATTGCACTCCAATAAGCTATTCTTCTGTATCTGATATGGAGAGCATCTGCAGCAATGACCAATTTAACAAAAGGTGGGAAGGCAAAAGCATCCCAATCTCCAAGGGAAAAGGAAGTACAGAGTTTGGAGAAGCATAATCAAAATTATAAGTGCTTAAAATCATCTTTAATCACAATATCAATTTAACTTGAAATTTCAAACAACACTAGAGAACAGTGTGAGATCTTTATCAAAAGAGGAGCAAGCCTGATAACAACTTGATAAAGAAACTCTGATAAAAGCAAGGAGATTCAGATTCAGACTCCTGAGCTTGATGTTTCACCTTCCCATAGAAACTCTGGCTCCTTAAGACTAAATTTTTCATTTTTAATATCTTTTTTTTTTTAATCCTCACCCGAGGATATTTTCCTATTTATCTTGAGATAGAGTGGGAGGGAGAAAGAGAAACATCGATATGAGAGACACACACCGACTGCTTCCCACACGACCCCGACCAGGGCTGGGGACTGAACTGCAACCAAGGTACGTGCCCTTGACCGGAATCGAACCTGCAACTCATTGGTCCATGGGCTGATGCTCTAACCGCTGAGCCAAACCAGCCAGGGCTAATATCATTATTAATATAAAACTCTATTACTATAAAGTTCTCAAACTTCATTATCCATCAAATTCACCTTGTAGAATTTGTTTAAAATGCAGGAATGCAGGCCTGACCTGGACCTACTAAATCAGAATCTCTACCATCTCTGCTAGAAAAGCTCAGTGGAGCATCTTTTGACTAAAAGTGAGTAAAAATACAGGTTTCCAAAATCATATATTAAGTATTATTAACCAAGGATGATGAAAAGGTGTTCTTGGGGAGACAAGCCTGTGGACTTCACATTTGTAATTACTTTACATTAATAGGACTGTTTTCATTTTCCTGTCATCAAACATCACAAGTCTGTAAAGTCTAACATTACACACACACACACACACACACACACACTCGCATTTTTAACAAATTAGGCTTCCCAGCCCTCTTCTTAAAAGCTGGTACAACTTCCTCTACATACTTGATCTGCATGGAGCATACTCAACAGTCTTCGTTCCATCCTGAAGAAAGCATGTTCCGACAGGCTCCCTCTCCTGTTTCAGCTCAGTCCTCCAGTGGTACAGTGGGGCACAGGCCTGGAATCAAAGCGGTAGCCCATGGATACAAATTCTCGAAAAAAAACCTAGTGTTTCAGACCATCCAGACTACCTCAGAGAAATCATCCTCAGATTTGAGGATTATGGCATACAGACTGTGTATGTATTTTCAGCCACGGGACAGGACAGGAACAGCTAAGTCAAAGGTCTAGTCAGAGAACATGAGTCCGGCACAGAGCCCAGGGACAGCCCACAGTTTGAAACTGGGCAGGAGAGGAGCCATTAAAGGAGACTGCAAAGGAGTAAGCAGAGAGATGGGAGAAAACCAAGGAAATACAGTGTCCCAGGAGCCAAGAGAAGAACATTATTTCGAAAAGAATGAATCAACTGACCTAGCTGAATGGTGCTGAGGAGTCAATAATAGTAAGTACCAGTGGATTTCAGGGAGCTGAGAGTCAAGGGTGACCTTGGCCGTGTCTACTTGAGCCTGACTAGAGTGGCTGGGAAGAAAATGTGAAGTGAATTGGAGATGGTTACCATAGAAAATACTTTCCAATAGTTTTTGAAAAGAGCAGCAAGAGAATGGGGCCATGGCACAGGGGAAATGAGGCAAAGCAAAATAGTTGCATTTTTAAAGAGAAGAGGTAGCAGAGGGTTTGCTTAATCAAAGGCATGCTATTCCTAAACCCGGCTGGACAGAAACAAACTGAGAGGAACTATCAAGTGAGGTGGGAGAAATGAAAATGTAGGAATGAAGCTGGAAAGTTGCAGAAGCCAAGTCTGTGGAAGAGCAAGAGAGACAGGGTGGCCTTTGGTCGAAGCTGCCTTATCTCATTACACCCTGTGCCCCACCAGCACAGTAAGTTTTACTATCAGCTTTCAAACATAAAACTTCCTTTGTTTTCACGTAAACAGACTAAACTGACCTATGAGTAAATATCCAAAAATCTTACCAAAATTTTATCCTGCTTTGACCTCACAGATGCTCCAAACCACTGATGGGACTTAAATTCCAACGGATCATCCTTGGCATAATCTCTATTGCCTAAAAAAAAAAAAAAAAATTGTGAGGGATGAGAAACAAAACATATATTCTTAGTTTAACAGCTTAGTTAAATTCAGCCAGGTTTAAGAATAGGGTGGCTCTGGTAAATTAAATACCACATTGCTTTATTATCTCATATACTTTTCAGCTAATCAGAAAAAGATAGCTTAGAAATAGCTTAGGGTTGATATTAACCTTATCAATTACTTTAGGCGGATGTAAAAAAGTAACAGCAATTGAGCTAAGTTTTTGTTAGCTTTTTTTTTTTTTAAGGTTTTATTTTATTTTTTTGTTACAGATGTTTCTCCTTTTTTACCCCATTGACACCCTCCTCCCAATCCCCCCCGCCCCGTTCCGGGCTTTGTTGTCCATGTCCATTGGTTATGTATACATGCATATAAATTCTGTGGTTTATCCCTTCCCACCCCCCACCACCCCCTCTTCCCAGGGTTGTCAGTCTGTACCCTACTTCCGTGTTTCTGAGTCTATCCTATTTCTGTTAGCTCTTAACTTCCATATTACTGCCCTAAGCCTCTCATTCCAGAAAACCAAAACCCATCCCTCCGGTCAGGAGGAACGGAATGATGGAACCATCCTAACCCACCCAAAACTGCAAAGGTCGCTGGACAAGAAAAACAAGTTTCGGGAGACCCCAGCCCCGACCAATCAAGAACTCGGGAGACCCCAGGCCTGACCAATCAAAGACGACCATGACTCCTCGGCTAACGACCACCACCCCAGCCCTGAGTTTAAAAATCCCTAGTCTGTACAAGCCGGTTGCTACTCCCTCCTTAGAGGTAGTCCCGCAGGCTAATCGCCAATAAACCTGCACTTCTGGAGACCCTGCACCGCCTTGTTCCGCCTCGTTCTTACATTTTCCAATTGCTAAATCGCAAGATAATTAACTATTAAACAAATACTTGTGATTACCTACTGTATTGCCAGAAGTTCTTTCTGTGGCATAAGATAAAAGCATCTCTGTAGAAAACAAGTAGTAAAAGACTAAAGGAAAAGACCAAGATGGTCCAGTGACATCGCAATACAAGAGTTAGAATCCAGGAGATACAATGTAGCTGGTAGGAAAAAGAATTAGATCTGGAATTAGAAATGCATCACTGGCCGGTGTGACTCAGCAGTTAGAGCATCGGCCCATGGACCAATGAGACCCGGGTTCGATTTCAGCCAAGGGCACTTACCTCAGTTGCAGTTTGTCCCCGGCCTTGGTGGGGGTTGCGTGGGTACAGTGTCCCTTGTACACAACCAGCCAATGTGTCTCTCTCGCATCGACTCTCCCTCTCTCCCTCCCTCCTAATCTGTCTAAAGATAAATGGGAAAAATATTCTCGGGTGAGGATAAAAAAAAAGAAATGCAAACATTTCTTTTTCAGGCTACATTATTGAGAAAATTATTCCCAAAGTACCAGGTACTCATGCAAAGCACTAAGATTTTTAAAAAGATAAAAATCCTTTCCACAGTAAAGCTCTTGATCTGGTGAAAGAAAAAAATACAGAAACATATGCATAACGTGTTTTGGTAAGGAGACACGTTATGTGGTAATTTTTTTTTTTTTTTTTGAATCCACACCTGAGGGCATTTTCCATTTATGTTCAGAAAGACTAATAATTTTTAAACTCTAACTTGTTCTGCTTAAAATCCCTTTATAATAATCATTCTTTACGACTCCATTGGATAAATTCAGCACACCGGTGTCAAGTTTAAGAATGCAGGTCAACATGTAAATATCATCGAAAGGTTTGGTTAAATCTGTTCCCTAAGTCTCACCCATCTAGCAGTACTATGGTTATTCAATTCCATTTTGAAGACTTAACACTGACTAAATAGATATAAGTAATGAGAATTTCAATAATGCCAGGTGACTTATAGGCAAGGTGAAGGGTGTAACCTCATTCATCGTAATCTCCTTTTAACTCTTTCATAGTTTTGAAAACTTTTTTAATGTGTCAATCTCCAAAGGCCTTTATCTGTAGTCCACTGACTGTTCTCTGTCAGTGGTCACAAAAGCACTGTTTTATAAGCAGAGAAAAGGAAGAGGAGAAATAGAACTAGCTGATAGATGCCCTTCACCATGAAAACCAGGCTCTCCCAGCAATGGTTGGCTTGCCTCTGAAGCCTATGTTCACCATCCTTCCATAGTTAAGTGAAAGCCACATAACCAGTTCTTGCCAATAAGCTAAGAGCAGAAGTGGCAGTTCAAGTTTGCTTCTACTTCAAGACAGTTAAGAGTGGGTAAGAGTAACAATCATCATTAAAATGAAAATGAAAACCAAAATAAGGTATCATCTCATACCAGTTAGAATGGCTATTATTATTATTATTTTTTAAGGCAAATGTTTGCAAGAATGTGAAGAAAAGAGAACCCTTGTACACTGTTGGTGGGAATGTAATCGACACAGTCATTATGGAGAAGAATATATAGGTTACTCAAGAAATTAAACAAGAAACTACCATATGATCCAGAAATCCCACTTCTGGATAGACAGATAGATACATATGAAATATAATCACTGTCTTGAAGAGATATCTGTACTCCCATTATTCACAACAGCCAAGACATAGAAGCAATCCAAATGCCTACCGATAAATAAATAAGAAAAGAATATATGAGGATCCAAGATGTGACAAGAGTAGGTGGAAAGTACACTCACATCCTCCCAGGACCAAACTGGAATTACAACTAAAATATAAAACAATCAACCTGGATAACCAACTGAAGACTAGCTGAAAAAAAGTATTATAACAAAGGATTTACAGAAGAAGGAAGCCACATCAAGACTGGGAGGGAGTGAGGGAGGAAGGGAGGGAGGGAGGGAGGGAGGGAGGAGAGGTGAAAAGGGCTGGACCAACTCCCATGGGTAGCAGCTAAGATTCCAGAGGGATATCTCAGCTGCAAAGCCCCCCTACACAAGGAGCATGGGGTCTCAAGCCCACAGTGCACTCCCCAGCCCAGAGAACCAGAGCCAGGAAGAAGCATCCATATAACATCTGGTTCTGAAAAGTTAATGAAGATTCTGTCCACCAGAGACAGGAGTCTGCTAGAGGGCCAATGCCAAAATCTCACTGGCAGCCACTTACTCTGGGCCCTGCTAGAGGGAGGGTGGAGCAGACGAGAGTCCTGTGAGGAGACCTCAGTTTGTGGCTCCAAGGAGAAGGCTGAAAGGACAGACAAAATAGACTCAGAGATACAGAGAACAGACTGACCTGTCAGAGGAGAGACGTTGGAGGGAAGGGGTGGAGCTGGATGAAAAAGTGAAGGAATTAAGGAAAAAAAAAAAAAAAAACCTCATAGACACGGACGACAGTATGGTGATTACCAGAGAAAAAGGAGGATGAGGGGAGGCAGAAGAGGGTAGAGGGGAAATAAATGACGATGGAAGGAGATATGACTTTGGGTGGTGAACACACAATACAATATATAGATGATATATTATAGACTTGTACACCTGAAACCTATATAATTTTATTAACCAATGTCACCCCAATAAATTCAATAAAGATTATTTTAAATGTTTTTCTTTATTGATTTTGGAGATAGAGAAAGGGAGAGAAAGATAAGAACATTGATTGATGAGAGAGAACATCGATTGGCTGCCTCCTGCATGCCTCCCACTGGGGATTTGGCCCACAACCTGGGCATGTGCCCTGACCAGGAATCAAACCAGTGACCTCTTGGTGCATGGGTCGACGCTCAACCACTGAGCCACACTGGCCAGAAAAAGATTTTTTTTTTTTTTATCCTCACCCGAGGATATTTTTCCATTTTTTGTACAGATAGAGTGGGAGGGAGAGAGAGGAAGGGAGAGAGAGAGAGAAACATCGATGTGAAGGGACACATCGAGTGGCTGCCACCCGCACGACCAACCAGGGCCGGGGACAAACTGCAACCAAAGTACGTGCCCTTAGCGGGAACCGAACCCGGGTCTCTCCGAACCGCAGGCCGACGCTCTAACCGCTGAGCCAAACTGGCCAGGGCCAGAAAAAGATTTTTTTAAAAAGATTATGTGGGTCCCAAGTGTCTGAGGTATCAGCAGACAGCATCTTTCATCAGGTAATGAAGTTCATTGAGCCAAGTTGGCAGTTTGTGAAACATTCAATTTGGCTTGTTAAAAGATGCACCAAACCTGATAGAAAAGAATTCCAGAAGATTTCTATGGCAACAGCAATAGGATTTGCTATAGTGGGGTTCACTGGATTTCTTGTGAACTTATTCCATATCCCTATTAATTACATCACTTTTGGTGACTCAATACCTTTTTAGAGGAGGGTTTTTTTATCTTGGAGATTAGTGAACAGTCAAGATTTGAGAAGCTTATCGAGTAAAAAAATTACCTACATGTTTTGTGTTCTTTCATTTTTTTTCTTCCAAGATGTTTTCTATTTATAAATTAAAATAATTTTTTCCAATTTTTATTAATTTATTTTTGTCACAGATATTTCTCCTTTTTCCCCCCAGACACCCTCCTCCCCGTCCTGCGCCCCCATCCCTCCTAGCATTGTTGTCTATGTCCACTGGTTATACATACATGCATATAAGTTCTTTGGTTCATCTCATCCATCCCCCCCCACTCCGTCACCTTACACTGAGGTTTGTCAGTCTGAACCATACTCCTTTCTATGTCTCTGGGGTTATTTCATTTGTCAACCCATCTTGTTAATTATATTCCACAAATAAGTGAGATCATGTGATATTTGTCTTTCTCTGCTTGGCTTATTTCACTTAGCATAATACTCTCCAGGTCCCTCCATGTTGTCTCAAAGGATAAGAGATCTTTCTTTTTTACAGCTGCATAGCATTCCATTGTATATATGTACCACAGCTTTTTTATCCACTCATCTACTGATGGACACTTGGGCTGTTTCCAAATCTTAGCGATCGTAAATAGCATTGTTATGAACATAGGGGTACATATATTCTTTCTTATTGGTGTTTCAGGCCTCTTAGGATATATTCCTAGAAGTGGGATCACTGGGTCAAATGGCAA